AACAATAATTTTGTTTATACAATTTTAAAAGAATTTCTATAGAACCAGCATGGTGGCGATCACCTTATTCCCAGGGGTTATATTCATTCATGTATTCCTTGATATTATAATAACCCTTTTTGAAAATTTTTCTTTAATAAAACTTTTAAATTTGTTTATTGACAAACTTTGAACATGTTCTGGGATTTTGTTGTAAAAGCGTATACATTGCCTCATAAATGAATTACTAATTCTGTGGAGTCTAGTAACTGGCATTACAAGCTTATATTTGTTCCTAGTGTTTAAGGTATGAACATCCTTATTCTTATTAAAGCTATTTATGTTTTTCATGTACATACATTACATTTTCATAAATATATTGCGATGCCAAAGTTAATACGTTTATTTCTTTAAAATTTTCTCTGAGGGACTCTTTACAAATTAGGTTATAAATCGCCCGTACGGCTCTCTTTTGCAAAACAAATATAGCTTCAATATCAGTCGCATTACCCCATAGCATAATTCTATAAGACATTACGCTATGAAAGTAACTAAAATACGCTAATCTAGCTGTCTAAACATCTGTGAGACTTCTAATCTTTCTTACAGCATATGCTGCAGAACTAAGTCTGCTTGCTAATTTAGATATATGGGGGCCCCATTGAAGTTTCGCGTCAATAGTAATACCAAGAAAAACAGTGGTATCCACAAGACTCAACTCCTCCCCATTTAAGAGCACATTGGTTTTCGAATGTTTTACATTAGGTATTGTAAATTTAATTTATTTTGTCTTATTGCCGTTTAAGAGCAAATTGTTGGCGTTAAACCAAAGTAGTAATTTCGATAGAGCATTATTTACATCGTCATAATTAATTAACTGCCGTTTGAGTTTGAAAATTAAAGAGGTATCGTCAGCAAATAATACTATATTGTGATTATCCTCTACAAGATAAGGTAAGTCATAAATATAGATTAAAAACAGGAATGGGCCAAGAATCGAGCCCTGAGGATCGGCCATTGATACTACCGATCCGGAGGAACATTTACCATTGATTACGACTTTTTGAGTTCTGTTACTTAAATATGAAGTAATAAGTCTAAGCGCCAAATTTTTTACACCGTAATGTCGTAGTTTCCTGATTAATGTCTCATGATGAACACAATCGAAAGCCTTGGAAAGGTCGCAGAAAATACCTAAGACATCTTGTGAAGTCTCCCAGGCATTAAAAATATATTTCATAAGCTCAACACCGGCGTCAGACGTCGAGCGACCCCTTGTAAAACCAAATTGGTTTTTATGAAGTAATTTATTTGTATTAAAAAAAATTAACAATTGACCCAAAATTAGTTTTTCAAAAATTTTACTGAGAGTTGCTGGTACAGAAATAGGTCTATAATTAGCGGGGTCCAATGTACTACCAGATTTAAATAAAGGTATTACTTTACTATACTTCATTAAATCAGGAAACACATCAGAATCGATATAAGTATTAAAAATAATAGCAAGATGAGGTGCAATTAAATCTATTATGGACGCAATCACTGTAACGGAAATCCCCCACAAATCTGCGGTTTTGTTTTTGTTTTGTTTTTATAGTATAGGGTGACAAACGAGCACACAGTCCACCTGATGGTAAGTGGTTGCTGTAGCCCATAGACATCTACATCTATCCTCAATAAAGACTCAAGATGCAGATGCGTTGTCACCCGTGAGGACTAAGATGGAATGCCTCTTTGCCAGTAAAAAGGGTCTCCGGTTCTCTACACTTACCATACGAAACACAGCAGCGTTAAGCTGCTATTTTACGCTGGTTTTCTGTGAGAGTGTGGTCCTTCCCCGGGCGAGCCGACCCATTCGTACTACAACTATACTTCTAATATAGCTGCAGCATGGCTCTACCACGTAAAAAATCTTTACATCAATGGTTTTGAAGTATTTTACAATATTATGCGGTAATACTTTTTCAAATCTAAATTCTTTTAAACAGGTATTAACATTCTGTTTAAGTAATGACTCGGCGACAGTTGGAGAAGTATTCAATGACTCTGTTGTCAAAATAGGAACATCAGTGAAATAATTCTCAAACACCGCTGCAACTTTTTGATTTGATTTAGTCAATTCATTATTAATTTTTAATTGATAGTTTGAGTTACGAGGTTTCTCTTTACCGGTTTCGCTGTTAATTATACTCCACGTCATTTTAATTTTATTCTTAGCTGTCTTAATTTTGTTACTAATATGTAATGATTTGGCTGTGGAGCAAACTCTTTTAAACATTTTAGAATAACTTTTTACATATTCTTTAAAAGCATCGGAATGATTATATGATCTTTCATGCTCTTGTAAAATACCGTCTCTGGAGTAAGATTGAAGTATTTTGTTATAAGAAGACCATTGGTGGCCACGAGATCATTTCGCACATATCCGTAGCAGTGTAAGACTCCTTCAAGGCTGCTCTCTGAAAAGGAACTCTTTCTCTTCCTCTTTATTAAGCAGGACGCGCCGGAATACTAGCGGTGCCTTCCTGCCTTCTTCTCTTGTGTAAAGAACTTATTGAACTAGAACTCTACAAACTCCCCTAGTTCGTTTTGCGGAGGCATTGGACCAGTAAAATCGCACTTCCGAATGTACCAGTCTTGTGAGCCCAACAACGGATCTGTTCTATGGCTCCCGCTGCCGGCCACTTTTCGATCACGGAGAGTACGATGTGCTACTACATCGTAGTACCTCCTCCTACAACTCCTACCCACGCATTCCCACTACCACTGCATCCAACACTGATTCTTCCCTCGCAACTCTCGACCGCAGGCGAAGAGAACAACTCTCCTGCCGCAGTCCTCTAATACTCTGTACCGTGACCACAGGCTAGCTATTCACCTTTGATCAGGTATGTAGTTCCGCTTGGTTGCTTGACCAAGACAAGTAGTCTAAGCCCCCAAGCCCAGCCGGATAGGAGAGGGGGAATATTTAGTATCTAGCCATGTCTGTAAATGTCCATTGCTAGTAGTAGGCGTACCCTGTAAAGAAGAATGTTTCAAGTATCATCTTTTGTTTTTACAGGAATTATCTAGTGAGTTGAATTTTGAAGAAAATTCTTTTTATAAAGTTATACGTGACGAAGAATACAAATATTGGTTAAACAGGATCGAAAGTTTAAAAAATGAACACCAAACGATTACTAAGATTATAGAAACTGAATATGAAAAAACAATTGAAAATTCTAATAAATTATATGAACATCCAAAAATTACTGATGATCAAAGAAAAAAAATTAAGCCATGTTATAACTGGAGAGCCAAGGTATACGTGCTTACTCATATGTTTGATCGCACTGAGCTGGTATTGTTATTTACTTATTAGTATTTAATGTTATCTTTTTTTCTGATTGTTCAGATTTTGCAATGTTATGAAAATAATCCACAGCAATCCCTTGAATGTTCACCAATGGTACAAGCTTTTAACCAATATGTAGAATCCTGCAGAGTCGATGAATAACTATCAATAAAATAGGTGACTATCAATTTTCGATTCTTTATATAATATGCAGACATTTCACAAATAATAAGTATATTTCTTATTATTATAAACATGTCATTTTTAATAAAACAATATTTATCAGCATTCGATTTTCATTTCGGTACTTATATCAAATCGCAAAATTACTGTTATTTCAATATCGCTGGAACTGAAGAACTAGAAGTAGTGTCCCATATTAGCTGGGAACTTTACCATGTTTACGTGGGACTTATGACAAAAAAGATTGTACTAACTGTGTTATTTGCCTAGAATGACGTAAAAGGTGGTTAATGGGATATATAACTCTATTTTTTCTACAAAAATATACCCGAAAATTCTTAAAAGACCTTAAGGTGGAAGTTCCAGGGTGGCCCGCGAAATTCAAATTTTTTTACGTTTGTTGCAATTTGCAGGGCAGTGTCAGGTTGTATGTTTAAGGAAATATGATTTGCGAGCGTAACGAGTATGTATTTACAGAATTATAATCATTATAATCATCAATACAACTATGTTCGTATAATTCCAATGTATGACTATTTCCAGAAAAACTCATTCAAAGGAATTATACGAACTTAGGGGGTTGTATTGATGATTATAATGATTATAATTCTGTAAATACATACTCGTTACGCTCGCAAATCATATTTTGTTAAACATACAACCTGACACTGACCTGCAAATTGCAAAAAAACGTAAGAAAATTTGAATTTCGCGGGCCACCCTGGAGCTTTCACCTTAATTATGAAATCAATCCAATAATTTAGTGACTTACTTCATGATGCAATCAGAACAATACAAGCCAGTAGAAAATAATATTATTTTTTTACGTGGGAAAATACCAACGCATACCTGTCATATGGGGCCGCTAACGGGCTATGTCAGACTCGCACTGACCAAAACTCCATTGTGTTCCATCTTTGCCGCACACTGAGAGGGCTACGAGAACACTTTCGCGCATATCCGCAGCCCTACCAGCGGCAACCGCTCCATGACGGCAACTTCTCAGAAGAGGAAATTGTTGCTCTTATACCTTTACAGCCTATTTAAAGTCCACTGCTGAACATAGGCCTCCCCCCATAGATTGCCTCTTAGTCTTATGGGAGAAATTACCCATAGTTGCTTTGTTTGCATAGTTGCTCTTATATTATCGTATAAATCATGTCAAATGGGTTAAGCTGTCGAAAATTTCGTAAAACTTCTCAATGTAACATAACAACAGATTGTAAAGAATTTTGTTATACATCAGAGTAGCCTGTATGGCTTAAGACCTTTGCCTACCTTAATTAGCAAATCGTAACAAAAACAAGTAACTGCCAAATTTTGATAAATTGATTCAAATTTTCAAATTACTAACTTGCTTGACTTGACTTGATTTAGGTAGTATTTGTTTTCATGAAGTTTATAAATTCTTATTTTATGATAATATAAATAAAAATAAAAATAGGTTTAATGTGAATGCCCGCATTTTAGTTTGTTTATAGTGTATGTATTATTAAACTCCATAATGACATCAAACGATTCAAAAGTTGATGACGAAAACTCTGTTCGTCACACAATTTTAGAAAAAATCAATGCTAATAATCAGGATATCAATACAAATAAGGTGGGGAATCAATAATCTCCGTTGTTATGATTTCGTTATATTGATTAGTTTGGGTGTGTAATTTTACTTAAATAATAAGACGTTTGTTTTATTGTTCAGGCACCAGATATCAACGATTTTACTATAGTAAAACCCATTAGTCGTGGTGCTTTTGGTAAGGTATTTCTTGCCCACAAAAAAAATAATAAGGAACAAATGTTTGCAATAAAAGTTATGAAGAAATCCGACATGATAAATAAAAATATGGTCGCTCAAGTTGTTACAGAAAGGAACGCACTGGCTTTATCTAGAAGCCCATTTTGTGTACATTTGTTTTATTCATTACAATCTGTATCATCTGTGTACTTGGTAAGAGTATCTAAGTTTCCTTTTATAATACTTTCTAAACAGTTTAGTGTATCATGCAATTCATGTCAGAAAATTATAGTATCACAGAGAATTTTTTTTCCAAGTGCATGTAGAGACTCAAGTGAGAGTTTTTCTTTGACTAACTAACTTGGTTATCGTAACAATATTTCTTTTTTCAACTGACTTCAATAATAGGAGGAGGTTCTCAATGAACTGTATTTTTATTTTTTTATGTGTGTTGCCTTAGAACTTTTTGTTAGGTGAATGTATTTTGATGATTATTTTATTTGAAAGCTGGTACTTTTCATGATGTCCCATATAAATTTGATCTAGATCTGATTAGTAGTTTTTAAGCTGTCCTTAATAATGCATATTTAATTGACTTCAACTAGATTGATAATGTTCCCATTTTATATAAATTCAAGTTGATTGTTCAAAAATTTTAATTTTACCACTTGTATAATACTGAAGTAACAATTAACTCATTATTTTTCATTTTCACGTCACATAATTGAGAAAAAGAAGAAAAATAAAATATCCACTCTTGAACATATTTTTCCATTGAAGATAAAGATATGCACACAACATTAATTGGCCCTGATTTATATGCATACATCAGCTCTCTGCATGTTATTACTACTATTATCAGCTCCCTATAAGGTTATTACTTTATCTAGCAAACTTGTTTTACAAATTTGAATACATACTATAATCATAAATAGTTTTTTTTATTTATAGAATATGGGTGACAAATGAGCGCACATTCTACCTGATAGTAAGTGGATGCTGTTGCCCATAGATATTTAAATCTATCTTCAATTAAGTATCAAAATGTAGATAGATGCATTATCACCCTTGTGGACTAAGATGCCTCATTTCCAGTTGTTCAGTTCCAGGTTTCCAGTTCTCTACACTCACTAAACTCATATGAAATACAGCAGTATTAAGCTGCTATATTGTTAAAGTGTGGTCCTTCCCCGGTCGAGCCGACCCATTCATGCTACAAACATAATATAGCTACAGTGTGGTTCTATCATGTAAAATAGAAATATATTTTTTTACTCTCTACCACGTAAAATTAAAATATATAAATATTAAATAGTATAATAATAGCTAAACATTTTGCTTATCTATCACTTTTAGGTCATGGAATATATGGTTGGTGGTGATTTAAAATCTTTGTTGGGAGTTTATGGATTTTTAGAAGAGTCAATGGCAGTTTTCTATGTGGCTGAAGTTACTCTAGCATTAGATTACCTACACAAACATAATATAATTCATAGAGACCTAAAACCTGATAATATGTTAATATCTAAGACTGGGCATGTTAAACTCACAGACTTTGGTTTATCTAAAATTGAAATACACAGAGGTAAATAAAAAAAAAAACACTTTGAACTTCTTTTCCTATATCTCCATAATAACAGTTTTGACAATGTTTTCAGATTTGGAGATTTCTGATTTTGTCACTCATACACCAAGTTTAAACATGAGAACACCTGGTCAACTGCTGTCATTGACATCACACCTATCTTTTGGTTCAGGCGGAGGAGACAGCCAGCACAGCTCTGTTGTAGATGCCTGTGAGAACCTTCTTGATGAAATTAGGGAGACTAGTATGATATTACCGCTTAAGTTTTTTTACAGTTTTATAATATTTCCAATTTTATTAATGTGCTTCTATCACAGGTAAAATGAAAAATATGTTTGAGGGGCTCAGTGGATTGGAAAATTCTGCATCAGTGGACCATTCACAGTTATCTGGAATACATCCATTCATAAGTGCTGAAAGTATTAGTTTGGATGAAATAGCTGCAAGTATTTAAAGTTTATATTTTTAAATGTTTTATGAATTTTTATTAATTACTTTTAAACACCATTTATTATTAGAAACATTAAATGAAAATAATTTTTACAGATTTTATCACGTTTAATTTAACTTTTTAATTCCCGACGTTTCGGGTGCTTTACAGCACCCATGGTCATGGCTTAGGTGTTTGACGTCCCGATGTCATAGCTACCTTCAGCTTGTGAATATTAATTTTTGATCCGATCTACGCAGAATGACCTTACAATATCTTGAAGTCTTGCAGTGGTATGCTTGGGTTTGGATTAAATTTTATTAATTATAGGATCCCAAGCAGATAGCAGCACCCATCCATCTTCTCTATTGAAATTAGGATGTTTTTTAATTTCAATAGCCTTGTGAATCATACTTGGTAGGAATCGGTGTTCTTTTGCAAGGATTTGTGGTCTATCAAATCTAATGTAATGGCGGGGACGATCTAGAACATGTCTGCAGTGTCGGGAAACGTCGGGAATTAAAAAGTTAAATTAAACGCGATAAAATCTGTAAAAATTATTTTCATTTAATGTGTAGTCTTCGCATAAATATAAGAAATCATTATTAGAAACATGTCCATAATCAGTGATTGAATAAAACTTAAAAGAATTAAAGGGAGGTTTGGGAATTCTAATGTTTATGCCTAAATGAGAAAAATATCTAAGGAACTATAAGTTAATTGAAACAGCTAATGACCCAGACATACAACTGCAATTTGTAATAGTGTTAAATATTACTTCTTTTTAACAAAAAAAAAATCATATAAATCTCTTTACAGTGCCCAGATTCAGGATCAGAGACCGCAAGCTCCTACTATACATGCGAAAGTTCTAAAAATAGTACTAATTCAAAGAGTAACAAGTCAACTGATGTTAGCAGCAATAACGGCTCCTCAGTAGAATCAACAGTGCTGACAGATACTCAGCTTGATCATTCAACGTCTCCACTATGCAGAGGCCAGTCTTTGAAAAGGATACCTAGGTAGAATAATGTTCACTTATATTCTCTGAAGAGTAAATAAGGTTAACAAAATGCTAGTACTATATAATATTTTTATAGATGTGTGTTGTATTGATTGTGCATGTGTATATGGCCATTATATACTGTTTAGGGAGACAATGAATGCATATGTTTTCTTAAGTTTAATTTATTATAAATGACCACCTGCTGTGTAGTGGCGGCATATATGAGAAATATGTTGCAAAAGGCGACATAGGGACACTAAAACAGGAGATGGGCAGCAGCATCTTTGTGATAACATCTCAATAATAATAAAAATTGCAGATAAATATCCTCCTATGAGGCAATCAATAGGGGAGGCCTATGTTCAGCAGTAGACTTTTTTATATGCAGTAATGAATAAATGAGACGACCGCATAGATTGTGGTCAGTATCTAGCTACAATGTCACAAGTCCAAAACAAAAATGGACTCCTTGGCTTTAACTCTTTAATATTGAATAAAATGTAATGTTAGAATGTTGGTGGATTGCTGTGGGAGGGTTGGCCTCATCCTCTGCCTGCCGCAGCCGAGGTGCAGTCGCGGGGGAAGAGGGCGGGACTGACGGAGCCGCAATGTATGTTGGTATTATGAGGCAGCACTTTCCCTGTGCTTGTAGTTGTCTAAGGAGAATAGGAAGAGTTGTCTAAAAGGCAGTAGGTGCTGCTGCGGTTGCGGATTGTGCGAATGTGTGTGACGTCCACTGCCTATGAGGTGTACTGTGTGTTCATTTGTCACTGCTACTTCTATAAAAAAAACTAACATTCATACACATAATAAATAACCTTGAAAATTTAAAAAATAATTTTATTTGACAATCACTTTAAGATAAAGTTGGATTTGAGCAAACATAATTTATAATGCCTTTTAATAATAAATTTTACTTTAATATGTTTTTATATCATATTTTCTTGACGCTTTTAACTCTCCATATCTTTGTGTAATACGAACAATCCACTCCGGCTTTGTACGGGTGATTTCTGTATCTCGACAACAGTTGGTCCGACTTCACCTACTGTGTCCAATTGTGTCTAAACCATTCTAGAATCAATATACAAAATTTTATCTAAATTGATCTAGCTGTTTAGTAGGATTTCAGTCACATTTTAGTCACAGACAGAAGAGTTATATATATATAAATAGAATACCAGCGTCAATTTTATACTTGGTAGAGCTATGCTGAAGCTATATTAGTAGTATAGTTGTGGCACGAATGAGTCGGCTTGACTGGGGAGGGACCGCACTCTCACAGAATACCGGCGTAAAATAGCGGCTAAACACTACTTTGTTTCGTATGGTGAGTGTAGAGAACCGGAGACCCTTTTTACTGGAAAAGAGGCATTCTATCTTAGTCCTCACGGGTGACAACGTATCTGCGTTTTGATTCGTACGAGGTTAAATGTAGATGTCTATGGGCCACAGCAACCACTTACCATCAGGTGGACTGTGTGCTCGTTTGACACCCTATCATATAAAAAAAAAAATATATATATATATATATATATATATATATACAACGTGTCCCAAAATTCAACGATAAGCCAACACCGGAGGATAGACCTGCCCCGGACTAATCGGGTAAAAGAAGAAAAAAAAAATATCCCAATTATATTTTAAGTTATTTAAAAAAAATGAAATTCTTCAGAAATTGAGACCGTTTATGATATTTTTCACTACCATGACCACAATTTTTTAAATATTTTTTTCTTTTTTTTTTATAGGCAACCTGAATAGTACTGCTATCTACCACAATTCTTAAAAACTCCAGAATAACTCTTGTTTTATCACGAAAATTAATGAAACTTATTTTATTCCCTAAATTTTTTGAAGACTTTTACTTTTAACCAAATTTAACTTATCGTGGTGTAAAAAAAAAGTATGAACACTAGTATGGCAAGTTTTTTTAAAAATTGACGCAACCAACCAATATTCCAAAATGGTATAATACTCTAGGAAAACAAGTTATAAAAAAATATGGGCCTATTATTTCTTAACAGGGGCCAAATGACGGTCGGGTGTAATAAAAGTATTATTTCTTGAAAAATGTTTAATATTTCAAAACAAATGGTACAAACAGTTTCACATGTAATTTATTAAGTTATTAACATTATAGCAAATGTTCGAACTGTTTGCCACCAGCATTAATACATGCACGACATCGCCTTAAAAATGACCGTTTTATTTGTCTTGCATATCTTCTGCTATTAATGTAATCAGCAGCCTGAGTGATATTTCGACGAAGCTCGTCCAATGTCACAATGGGTTTTGAGTAGACCCTGTTTTTAAGACAACCCCAATAGAAGAAGTCCAGGGGGTTCAAATCGGGTGAACGGGGTGGCCATAAGATAGGACCAAGTCGCCCGATCCAACGCCCTGGATACTCTTGATTTAAATATTCTCGCACAGGACGGGCATAATGTGCTGGGCAACCATCATTTTGGAACCACATGTTTTGAAGATCACTTAAGGGCACGTCGTTTAACAATTCTTGCAAGTCATTTTGTAAAAAGTTTAAATAACTATTGCCATCTAAGTTTCCTTGTAACTCAAAGGGCCCAATTACTTTTCCATTTAATATGCCGGTCCATAGGTTAACCTTGAATTGATATTGGGATTTGTCTTGTCTCATCAAATGTGGATTTTCATTACTCCAACTATGTAGATTGTGAAGATTTAAATACCCATCTTTCTTGCACGTTGTTTCATCCGACCATAGAATTTTGTCTAGGAAGTGGGGATCTTCACTGTGCCTTTGCAGCATTACACGGCAAAATGTGACCCGTAGCGGATAGTCCCGCGGTAATAACGTCTGCACACGCCTGTAGTGATATGGGTGAAGCTTGTGACGTTTTAATATTCGATGTGCAGAACTTTTCGGGATTCCTGTAGCTTCTTCTATGGCACGTACCGAAGTAGTCGAGTCATTTTCTATCTCCTTGAGAACTTCTTCATCACGATCCAATCTAGGTCTTCCAGCGCTGCTCCTATTGGATGGCATACGACTCTCCGAAAACGCTTGATGCACATTAATAAACACTCGATAATCAGGATATCTTTGAGCATTTGGGTATCTTTCTGGATACAGTCTGCTAGCAGCGTTAGCATTACATCGGCATTCTCCATAGATTAAATGCATATTAGCGTATTCCTGTGGTGTGTACGGTTGCGGCATGTTAAACGCCAAACAGTCCAAAATGCGCCAGAACTCTAAATCACAAAACACACAATCGTAGTCCAAGATAATGCCAGGTCAGTTCAGTTTGCAGATCACTTCCAGTCCAAATAATGCCAGGTCAGTTAAGTTTGCAGGTCGATTCCAGTCCAAAAAGCCAAGCCAAAAGTCGATAGTATGTACGAGGGCCACGTAAGTTGAATTGGGTACGGTGCGCAGTAAACAAAGGAGCAGAGCGTACTGAACCGACTTGCTGAGAATAATAACAGCTTCTCTACCTGCCTTGTTGTTGTCTCTTTTTAACGTAAATATCTCTATCTATCTATCTCTCTCTAACATCTAAGGTATTAATGCCCCATTCGAATTCCTAGAAATTGTAACAGGAACCCATTTTGGGCATGTAGTAAAAGTGATTACTGACAATTACAATTTAAGGAATTTGGCCCCTGTTAAGAAATAATAGGCCCATATTTTTTTATAACTTGTTTTCCTAGAGTATTATACCATTTTGGAATATTGGTTAGTTGCGTCAATTTTTAAAAAAACTTGCCATACTAGTGTTCATACTTTTTTTTTACACCACGATAAGTTAAATTTGGTTAAAAGTAAAAGTCTTCAAAAAATTTAGGGAATAAAATAAGTTTCATTAATTTTCGTGATAAAACAAGAGTTATTCTGGAGTTTTTAAGAATTGTGGTAGATAGCAGTACTATTCAGGTTGCCTATAAAAAAAAAGAAAAAAAAATATTTAAAAAATTGTGGTCATGGTAGTGAAAAATATCATAAACGGTCTCAATTTCTGAAGAATTTCATTTTTTTTATATAACTTAAAATATAATTGGGATATATTTTTTTTCTTTTTTTACCCGATTAGTCCGGGGCAGGTCTATCCTCCGGTGTTGGCTTATCGTTGAATTTTGGGACACGTTGTATATATATAAAGATAGATATAGCTTTATCACACTTGAGGCAACTAAGTCCGATGGACTCGCTGACCAACAATGGGTGTTGTTGATTAGTCAGCATCTCGACCCGTACTACACCTGTTTATATAATTTAACATTTCAATAAAATTATCTAGTGTCAGTGGTAAAGTGGATGCCAGAGCTACATACTAATCAAAAGATTTTGTGCAGATAAATAATTATTGTCAAGTGGAATTTAGGACTTTAAAGTAACTCCTATATTATTAAAAATATTCTTTATTCCAGTTTTCGAGCAAAGAAAAGGAAGAGAATAATTGACTGTGATGGAGATACACCAACTGGTGTAACAAGTCTTTTAGAATGTAAGGAAAACCACAGCGGTCTTACTCAGGAGATTATGGCCTTGGAACTCAGTCAAAACACACCTAAACGAATATCAATACACCCAACACCTGAGAGGAAAATAAATCCCATAAAAGGTGTATTAAAGAAAAGGTTAGTTTTTGTAAATTATGTTATAAATTCATTTGTTCCAAGACGTAACATATTCCAATTGTTAATTTTTTAATATCTTTTATTTTTTATATTTGAAGTATACTTTCTATAATAATAAATGTAAAAAGTTATAATCTTTTAATTATATTAGCATTAGAGGGGCTGCTGGCTTAATAATCTCCACAGCAGAACACTACTTTACGCATATTCAAACACATACTTGACTATTTTATGTATAGTTCTCTTAAAATTTAAATAAAAACAACCTTAATTGACTATTAATTTTCTTATAAATGAACTAATTTATCATTAATCTTTTTTGAAGGTGGGCTTCACAAGATGACAGTCATCATTTTAATGTGGGAGTAATATTTTCCACACCAGTATCAAATAACAAATCTCCAGGTTGTAAAAAGCGGCAGAAAGCGACTCGCTTCAATCTACCAATTGATGAATCATTGTCTGGAACAAAGGAGAAATCTTTTACATTTAGCAAACATGTGTCCACTAGTTTAGAAATTTTCCCTACGAGAAGATTAAGTAAGGTGATTTTTTTTTTGGATAGTTATGTTATTACTTGTTGATTTCAATTAGGAAATGATTTGTGAATTGTCATGTGATTACATTTCAGGGTGAGGCCACTAATAGATCTCCAACTGATTTATGTAAAACTCCTTTAGCAACTGCACATACTCCATATAGAACACCTAAAAGTGTGAGACGAGGCAATCAAATATCGGATCAAAGAATTTTAGGTACTCCTGATTATTTGGCTCCAGAACTACTTTTAAGGTAGCATATTTTATAGTAAATAATTTATAGTATGTTGCCGGTCAAGTGAACATTGTGATGTCGCTTATGAGATTTTCGATAGGTTTTTTTTATAGAAGTATAAAATGTGGGATAACACTTTCTATACTTTATATTTTTCAGACAGATTTATTTCAGACAGAGTCCATACAAGTGACATAAGAAAAAAATTACATTATTATAAATTTAATCTCATCTAATTTAATTTAATTTAAATCAATTCAATCTAATCTATTTATCTAATTTAATTTAATTTAACCCAATTCAATTTAATTCATTTGTTTAACACCTTAATATTAATTACTTTAATAATATTAATTTTACAATTCAATTCAAGTATCTGCCACCTTCTGGGGCACCGGGCACACGCATTTGTGCTTGTTACCAGTGCCGTAGAAGGGAGCAGTCAGGCTTGTCGCTGAGCACGTTCAGGATGGTGTTGGCGCTCCCGCGCGTACGGAGCATCATCAGCGAGGCGATGCGGCGCCGCAGCACGGCGTGGAAGCCGTCCGTGTGCGCGTGCGCAAACATCGCACACGCACTACAGCAGCGCGGGAGCGCCACCACCCTGAATGCGTTGTTATATTGTACTTGGAGAGCGTTGATGGCCCGCTGCATGTAGTTGACCTTCAGACTTCAAGTGTATAGAGTTTGGCAAAAGGCTTTAAAGAGAGTTATCTTTACTCCAAAGCTACACCGCGCGAATCTGCGTGCCAAAATATTACAGCGGACATCGTCCTCCTTTTGCTTTGATGTCAGCATCGTCTTTTAAATCCTCGGTAACCACATGGCCGAGTTATTTAAACTCTTTCACCCTGCCAAGAGCGATGCCATTTAGCAGCACACGCGGTACATCACCCAGCTTACGACCCCTAGCTTGAAAGATCAAGAGCTCACTCTTTTTAACATTGTACAGGAAACCGTGTGACAAAACGTACTTCTCACATACACCTATTAGTTTTCTGAGACCGGCGATTGATGGGCTGTGCAACACCATGTCCACTGCATAACTGATACTGTTGATGCAGTGACTATCAATCGAACAGCCGACCCCTGTGTCGCTCAGCTCACCAATCAACCGAGTCACATACAAGTTGAAGAGAGGTGATGTTAGCCCTCCTGTCTCACTCCACACTCCAACTCGTATTCATCAGAAAGCACACCATGGCATCTGACCTGGTTTGTTTGCTATGCATACCAATATTTGAAAATATTGATCAACCCTCCCGGCATACCTGTGTCTTTTGATTTAGGCCAAAGAATATCATATCTAATTACGTCAAATGCCTTAATGAGATCAAGAAAGGCTGCATACATAGGCGTGTTCTTATCCGTGTAGTACCTAACAGTCTGCTTGAGAGATATAATTGCGCATTCTGTCGAAAGTCCTGGTCTGAAGCCGAACTAAGCGTCATGTAGATAGAGATACTCTTTAAGTTGTCTCTCAAGCAGGCCGTCAAGCACCTTAGATGTGGTTGTAGCTAATAATATCGGGCGGTAGTTGTACTTGTCGGAAGTATCACCAGTTTTGTTTTTAATAATAGGCACTATCACCGTCTTCATTAGCTCATTTGGCAGATAGAAATGCCTAATGCATAGCGTGAACAGCAGCCCTAAGAGTCTCGGTAGGTGTGGCCCCGCATAGCGAAAATTAATTAAAATACTCCCTGTTGCTTAGATACTCTTAAATAAATTATGTCAATAATATTTCCGTCGTGGAAACTACAGCAAATTATTTTATACTTAATAAAATGTAATATCACATTTTAATTGAGAACTCCAAATTTGGAATAAAAAGCAATAACCATTTTAATCTCTCATCCGTTTTAGAAAAAAAAAAGTGTTTGGTTTAGGTACATAAATTTACACTCAAAGCGAAAAAAGGTCGCAGACACAATTTCAGAATCAGAATCTTTTATTTAATTTCATTTATTCTTTATATATTTCGTATATTCATTTATTTTAGTTTATGTGTAATAAAGAAGTTTTAAAATAAGAGAATGATTGCAACTTTCTTTCAGGCAGGGCCATGGACCTCAGGTAGATTGGTGGGCGTTGGGTGTGTGTCTCTACGAATTTATGACAGGAGTACCTCCTTTTAATGATGAGACCCCTCAAGCAGTTTTCAAAAACATATTGTCAAGAAGTAAGTTTTTAAACTACACTTATTTTACATAAATATTAAACGTCGTTTACTTATTTAATACCCTATACTGCGCTGCTAAATTAGGGTGATTTATATTTTGGCCCCCACACTATGATTTTCTACTGTATTGTGTAGGCAGCTTACAAACATAAACTGCACAAGGATAAACATGCAGTCCCGGAACAATTAATTGTAGGCCATACAAATACTCGTTTCCTGCGGGATTCGAACCCGCGGCCCCCATCGCTGAAACTCATTGCTAAGCCACTGCGCCACGGAGCCGTCAAAAGTACCGCGGTCTTAACAGGTTATTTTGTTAAATTTAGATATAGAATGGCCAGAAGCAGATGAAGCATTGTCACCTGAAGCAGTAAGCGCTATAGAAGCCCTTCTCACTATGGAACCCACAGACCGGCCTGCTGCAAAAGAAGTACGGGTGATGCCATTGTTCCGAAATGTTGACTGGGAGAATCAGCTAAATAAGCAGCCACCGTTTGTACCAACACCAGATGATCTGTTTGATACAGGATACTTCCAAGGTATTAATCCATAAAGAGATTTTTTGATATATTAATTATTCAGGTAGTCCACCGGTCACCAACATTGCCTTTTCAAGATTGTATGTTGAATGTTAATGCATTGCAAGTTGCCCCCCTTACCCCATTCAGTAGTCGGATATGTGAGAACAGATCCAAGAGCCTCGCATTGGTAAAGTCTTTTGTGCAGTACACGGTATTTTACTATCCGTAATTTTATATCAGAGACTCAGTGTTGCTTAATTGTTGTCAGTTTTTCGGTCTTCATAGCATTTAAATAATTAAACTTAGAAAATAAAAAGAATAACATAATTTCCACATATTACGTGGAAACTATTTTACTCACATTTACGAAATAATTTTACGTATAGTCTTTTCGTTTAGATATGGTCTCCTTTGTGTAGCGCCCCTTTCTCACGTGCCGCATCTTGTCAAAGGCGTCGCCGCGACCTGAAAGGTCGCCTCGTGCGGCGTACACCCGCAGGAGAATTAGGCATTTTAAAAGAAAGCGCCGTAGTAATAGGTTCTTTGCCACCTAACATGTGTTTATTATTTATATTCGTATTTTATTACAATAATTATAAGAGTAAAATAGTATCCTATTTTATTCTTAGATATATTCTAAGAATAAAATCTTTCTACTATAGAAACATCTAGAATGTTCGAGTACATACCGGTCCCGACTAGGTGCGGATAGTTCTAAAAAGTTCTTCCATGGAAATTTCTAGAAGGACCTTGACTCTCCTAGTTCAGCTACTGGATACTAGAGAGCGCTAGTGGTAACTAGCGTTGCCATGTACCAGGCATTAATGGTGGCGCTCAACGGTGTTTTACTCCAGTCTGCAAAAGTATGTGTCATAGTCATAGTCGATATTATGTAGTTGTATTTAACTGTTTGCCGTGTAGTGGCAGTCAAGAATATCCACTACCCCATATCCTCCCGTGGGTGTCGTAAAAGGCGACAAAGGGAAACAGGCAGGAGATGGGCAGCAGCATCTTCCTGATAATAGCCAAAATTACAATAAAAAAACTGCGGTTGCCAACCCGCTCGCCAAGCGTGGCAACTATGGCAAATACCCCCCAATGATCAAAGCAACAAATAGACGGTCCTCAGTCCCCGCGGCCCCGCTATTCCTGGCTACGGTGGCGACCATGGTAACGGCGGGGCAGGGGGTGCTAAGAATCTCCGGTGGAGGTTCGGTTGCCACCTTAGACGACTCGACCTGGCAACGTACAACGCACGCACCCTGAGGACTGACGAGAAGATCGTGGAGCTGGAAGAAGAGATAGACAAGTTGCGCTGGCATATTATAGGATTATCCGAAGTCCGAAGAGAGGGGGAGGACACGGTAATCCTCGAATCCGGCAACTTGCTCTATCACCGGGAGGGCGACCATCTGTCCCAAGGAGGTGTCGGATTTATCGTCCACAAGTCTTTCGTTAACAACGTTGTAAAAAGCGGGAGTGTGTCGAAGAGGGTTGCGTACCTTATACTCAGAATCACCAAAGGGTATTCGCTGAAGGTCATACAGGTTTACACACCAACCTCGGCACACCCCGATAAGGAGGTGGAGGAAATGTATGAGGATATCTCTAGAGCCATGCATTCCTCCAAAACCCAATATACGGTGTAAATGGGAGACTTCAACGCAAAACTAGGCACAAGAGAGAACGGTGAGCTGAAAGTAGGGAAATTTGGAATAGGGCAACGGAACCCAAGGGGTCAGCAGCTGGCCGACTTCATGGAGAAAGAGGGACTCTTTATGATGAACTCTTTCCTCCAGAAGCGGCCCCACAAGAAGTGGACCTCGTCGAGCCCCGACGGTTCGACAAAAATGAGATTGACTTCATTATGACGACCAGGCGACAACTGTTCAGTGATGTCTCCGTGATCGCGAGGGTGAAAACTGGTAGCGATCACCGAATGGTTAGAGGCACACTGAACCTAAACGTTAAGTTGGAGAGGTCGCGTCTAATGAAGTCAACGCTCCGTCCTCCTCGTGCTCTGATCCAAAGTCCCGAAACCTTTCAGCTCGAGTTACAAAACCGTTTTCAGTGCCTAGAAGACTGCAATGAAGTGGCCGATATGAATGACAAGCTCGTGGAAACTGTCCATGCTGTCGGAGCTAAGTTCTGCAAGACCCGCCGCAGAAGAACACAAAAAGTCTCCGATCACACTTTTAATCTCATGGCTGTTAGATGGGAGATGAAGCTACATTCTTCAACAGATTTGACAGCATACAGGCAACTGAACAGACAGATCTCCAAATGCATGCGGCGGGACTTACGCAACTTCAATACAGCTTGTATTGAAGAAGCGATCGAGCGGAACCAGGGCTCCAAAGTCTTTGCCAGAGATCTGTGTGCCAGAAAGAGCCAACTGTCAAAGCTGAAGACCGAATGTGGCAGCATCGTTTCCGGGACACCTGAGATTTTGAGTGAGATTGAGAGGTTCTATGGGCAGCTGTACACGTCATCGTTGAAGCCACACGCAAGTGTGAGTAACGATCCAAGAGCGAGTCTCATCCGACACTATTCCGAAGATATCCCGGACGTCAGTCTGAGCGAGATTAGAATGGCTCACCAGCATCTTAAAAAACGGCAAGGTCCCAAGCGAGGATGGAATTACAGCGGAGCTTCTGAAAGCGGGTGGAAGACCGGTACTGGAAGTTCTTCAGAAGCTCTTTAATTCCGTCCTCCATGGTGGCATTACACCGGAGGCGTGGAGCAGAAGTGCGGTGGTCTTGTTCTTCAAGAAAGGTGACAACGCTCTCTTGAAGAACTACAGACCGATTTCCCTTCTGAGCCGCGTCTACGTGCTGTTTTCGAGAGTCATTACGAATCGTCTCGCGCGCAGACTTGACGACTTCCAGCCTCCCGAACAAGCCGGTTTCCGAAAGGGCTTTAGCACCATAGACCACATACATACCCTTCGGCAAATTGTACAGAAGTCCGAAGAGTAAAATTTGCCACTATGTTTGGAGTATGTGGACTATGAGAAAGCCTTTGATTCCGTCGAAATTTGGGCGGTGCTGCAGTCCCTTCAGCGGTGCCAAGTTGACTCTCGGTATAGCGAAGTGCTGAAGTGTTTGTACAGTAGAGCTACGATGGCTATCCGAGTACAGAACCAGTGTACGAAACCTATCCAATTGCAGAGAGGTGTAAGACAGGGTGATGTTATATCCCCGAAACTCTTCACCGCTGCATTGGATGACGTTTTTTAAACTTCTGGACTGGAAAGGATACGGCATTAACATCAATGGCGAGTACATCACTCACCTTCGATTTGCCGACGATATAGTCCTTATGGCAGAATCGCTGGAGGACCTAAGCACTATGCTCAATGACCTCAATAGTGTCTCCCAACGGATAGGTCTTAAGATGAACATGGACAAAACAAAGATTATGTTTAATGTCCATGTCACACCTATGCCGGTAATTGTTGGGAGCACTAAGCTCGAAGTTGTTGATGAGTATGTTTACCTGGGACAAATAGTCCGACTAGGTAAGTCCAACTTCGACCGAGAGGTAAATCGACGCATTCAACTCGGCTGGGCAGCGTTCGGGAAGCTACGACACATCTTCTCGTCAGACATACCTCAAAACCTTAAAACGAAATTGTACAACCAATGCGTGTTGCCAGTGATGACTTACGGAACTGAGACGTGGTCCTTCACTGCTGGACGTATGAGGAAGCTCAAGTTCGCTCAGCGAGCTATGGAGAGAGCTATGCTCGGAGTTTCTCTGCGTGATAAACTTAGAAATGAGTATATCCGCAGTAGAACCAGAGCAACCGACATAGCCCAACGGATTAGTAAGCTGAAGTGGCAGTGGGCCGGTCATATAGCTCGAAGAACCGACAACCGATGGGGAGGAAAGGTTCTCGAGTGGCAGCCTCGTACCGGTAGGCGAAGTGTAGGGCGACCCCCCACGAGAAGGAGTGACGACCTGGTAAGACATGCAGTCGAAAGTCGATGGATGCAGGTGGCTCAGGACCGTGCTTTGTGGCTTTCCTTGGGGGAGGCCTATGTTCAGCAGTGGACTTATGAAAGGCTGTAATGATGATGATGATGATGATTTAACTGTTCGGGGATTTGATATTGTATATATAAAACGTCCAAACACGTTGATTAAAGACGCACCGTTGATTTATTATAACTTATACTTGATAATAAAACCTTCAGCCATTTGACAAGACAATTTGCCGATTGAGTGCAATTGAACTGAACTTCAAAACGTTTGAATAAAACCGTGGAACGCGCGTCTCAACCCATCCCACGCGATCTATACCGTCTCTAATGAAGTTGTTTATTGCAATGAGCTAGGCGGTGATGAGAAAAATCCTAAGGAAGTTTCCATTATTGAGGAATAAAATATTTCGATGACATGTGAAATCCGCCAACAAGCACTGGAGCTGCGCTGTGATTTAGTGAGTGCTTTAGTCGCACATCGCGATAAAACTCGTGATACTATCCATACAATCTGGATGAATGTCCACCACTGTGCGATTTACAAGTAGTTTTCTTCCTCGCTTGAATCGACTACCACCAGCGATTTTTCCGGACCGATGCGACTTAGGGACCTTCAATAAAAGAGCTTACTCTTTTTTAAAAGGCTGGCAACGCATCTGCAATTCCCCTGGTGTTCCAGTTGTTCATGGGCGGCGCGGCGGTAATCACTTACCATCAGGTGAACCGTATGCTCGTGTGCCCCCTCTCTTATAAAATAACAATAATAATAATGATCTTTATGTTCATCAGATGGCGCTAGTTGTCTAATGTGAACTTATTTGTCACACAAATGGTCACAGTATCATCATCACTGAAAAGTTGCGTTTTAAATTGTTCTTGTGCATGTATTATACACAAAATAATGCCTCAGTGGTGTGTTCTTTAATTTTTTTTACTTTGAGTAATATCCGTAGTTTGATTTAATCCTTTTACTACCTAATTAATACAAAATATAACAAATAGTCCAGAAAGACATATTAACCTTTACACATTTCTAACAATTTTGATTAAATTTAAAATCACCTTATTTGAAAGTAGCGTCATCCTGGTGGCAGAAAAAGTTGTAAAAGCTGTCATTGTTCCATAAACCTCTCAGAAATGAGAGGAGACCTGTGCCTAGAAGAGAAGCGTATAAAGGCTATAATTTTACGGTTTTTTTTTAAAAATAAATTATCTATCTACTGAATATTAAAAACAAGAAGATGTAACAAAACTCATAAGAAAGAAACACATTTCTTTCTTATGCTTTTTTTTAAATTCAAATGGTGCACAATTGTCGCTACACATACCGACACTTGTGCACCATTTCAATAATTTTCGCGTAGAGCTTGTCTAAGTTGAAACGGTTCGCACCACTACTTAATTTAGATATGTGACTGCAAATATTTAATAAAGACACTATCTGTGTTGTCGCGTCGACTGTTCCGTGAACTTGGATCTGTACGCGTACATCACGGTCGACTGTACAGACCCACGATAAATCCGTCAACGCTTACTGTATGGAGCAGCGAATGAAACAATAGATCCGCTCTCTCGCGCGTTTAGCTAATTTATAACTAGTTGAACAACAAGTCCGAGCGTTAACTGAATGACCAATTACAGGCATTTTTGTGTGATTGCGTATTTACAATTTGTCTGTGTGCGTAAATGCGATAGTGTGGCACGTCATTTCAGCTTAGACAAGCTCTAGTTGGCTATTGAAAAATGAAGGAGAAAGGCTTTATGGTACTCACTATTCGCCTGAATATGAACCATAAAATCATAAAAATAGTGATCAATTTCTTTTCATCAAGGATGTTTCTGGAATTAATGAGCAAATTTAATTCTTAACTTTAGATGTCGGAGTAATACCGCGATTATTTGAAAACGCACAATAAATTCTTACTAATAGATTCAATTACCTCCATACTCTTCAAGATTATGGAGCGTATATTGAACGCCCACCGCCAGTACGGGTTTCGCCGAAATCGATCAACTGGGGACCTTCTAGCGTATGCCACTCACATATGGGGCGAAGCCCTCGAGAACAGTGGTGAAGCACTTGCTGTTTCCCTCGATGTTTCGAAGGCTTTTGACAGGGTTTGGCACGCTAGTCTATTGGGCAAGCTTTCAGCTTACGGCTTATCCCCTGGTCTAATTGTCTGGGTGAAGGACTTTCTGAGTGAACGGTATCTCCGGGTCGTCGTTGATGGCTGCTCATCCAATACTGTGGCGACTTAACGTCGGTGTTCCTCAGGGGTCCGTTCTCTCCGCAACTCTCTTCCTGCTGCATATAAATGATCTGCTCATTCCCGGTGTCTATGGGTATGCAGACGACAGCACAGTTGTGGAGAGATACCAACCAAGCGCCCGGGCCAGTCGGGATCAAATCCAATCAGAAAGAGAGGCTATGGTTGAGCGTGTGAGTCTCACACTACAGGCAGGCTCCGAATGGGGCGATGCCAATCTCGTGAGATTTAACGCCTCCAAAACACAAGCGTGTCTTTTTACCGCTAAAAGGAGCCCGCTCACCTTGGCTCCTACTTTCCGTAATGTATCCTTGGAGTACTGACCGCCTTCAGTTGTTAGGGATTGAATTTTCTCCGAACGTAAACTATGGGTGGTTCATTGAGTCCAGAGCCAAAGCAGCCGCAAGGAAACTTGGTGCCCTTGCAAGGGTGCGGCGGTACTTCACGCCGGGGCAGCTTCTTACCTTATATAAAGCGCAAGTCCGGTCGTGCATGGAGTACTGCTGTCACATATGGGCTGGTGCTGCAAAATGCCACCTGGCAGCATTGGACTCAGTGGAGAGACGTGCTAAGAGGCTCATTGGTGACCTTGATTTGGTTGAAACCAATCTTGTCAGCCTCGAGCACAGGCGCAGAGTAGCCAGTCTCTCGGTTATTCTATAGGATGCATTTCGGTAAGTGTGCGCAGGAATTACACGCCTTAATTCCTCCCTCTCCTTTCCACCATCGGACAACCAGACGGTCGGCGGGTCTTCATCCCTTTGTTGTCGATATTCCACGCATTAGAACCAAACGGTTTGCTTAGTCTTTTGTAATGCTTACAGCAAAGGAGTGGAATAATTTGCCGGCGTCTATCTTTCCGTCCGAATACAATCTGGGCGTCTTCAAGGCAAGAGTGAATAGGCTTTTGTTACGATAAGACAGTGCGATTTACCATCTAAGGCTGCATCACTACTTACCACCAGGTGGGATTGTGGTCAAGCACTGGCTTATAAGAAGTAAAATATATATATATTATTATATCTTAATGCAAAAAGTTTGTAAGATTGACGAAAAAAATTTACTACGTGACGCTAGATATCGCAACAACCAATTCACACTATTATAGACACAATGCTAATAGACATAACGACTTTGCCTTATCTAATCTGTTACTGCTACGTGAATGGTGTTAGTGATGTAGTTACACTGTGTGAACGTGATCTGACTTATCGATATTCAGTCAATATTAAAGTACCGGAAAATATATGATAACATTAGTAAAATAACAAAATTGTTTGGAATTTGCCTTTACGTACTACGTATATCCCTGTAATTTATATAGCCAACATAATATAATTAATTGTCTTTGATGGAAATTTATTAACAATGAACTAATTATCATTTTTGTATTGGAAACAAGGAGAATCATAAAAAATAATAATTTAAGCAATTGTTTATTGTCCTTGAAATAACACCATTTGTTTAATAAATTGTCGTTTTGTAATAACAAAGTCTAATTCCGTCCTCCATGATGGCATGCTCACGAACAAGTCAGTTTCCAAACGAGGCTTTAGCACCATATACCACATACATACCCTTTGGCCAATTGTATAGAAGACCGAGGCGTACAATCTACCACGCTAGTAGTCGACTCGACTGCACAGATTCATTCTTGGGACGATGTATACGCTTTTACAACAAAATCCCAGAAAATAAACAAAAGTTTACCTGGTCAAGGTTCAAAAACTTTATTAAACTAAGTTTGTATTAAAAGGGTTATTATAATATCAAGGAATTTATGGATGATAATAACCCCTGGGAATTAGGTAATCGCTACCGAGCCGATTTGTTTCTGTTCCACTTTGTCTTGCGTTTGTAGACTATAAGGAAGCGTTTGAATCCGTCGATATTTGGGTGCTGCTGCAGTCCCTTCAGGCTATCCTAGTACAGAACCAGAGTACGAAACCTATCCAACTACAGAGAGGTGTAAGACAGGGTGACCTAATATCCCCGAAAATCTACACTGCTGCATTGGAAGGCGTTTTCAAGCTACTGAACTGGAAAGGATACGGTATCAACATCAATGGCGAGTACATTCGATTTGCCAACGATATAATATATATTTTGGCAGAATCGCAGGAGGACCTAAGCACAACGTTCAATGAAATCAATAGTACCTCACAACGGATAGTCGGTTACTCTAGTTCTACTGCGGATGAGGATATCCGCAGTAGAACTAGAGTAACCGACATAACCCAACGGATTCGTAAGCTGAAATGGCAATGGGCCGGCCATATAGCACGGAAAACCGACAGCCGATGGGGAAGCAAGGTACTTGAGTGGCACCCTCGTACCGGTAGATGAACTGTGGGGTGGCCCCTTACTAGATGGAGTGACGACTTGGTAAGACATGCAGGAAGTCAATGAATGCAAGTGGCTCAGGACCGTGCTTTGTGGCATTTCTTGGGGGAGGCCGTGGTGAAGGGCGGTAATGATAATGATGAATAACAAAGTTTAATATTTCATTTTAGACAATGATGAATTCGGATACTAATGTAGATCATGATACGAAGATCACTTATGTTTCTGATTCTTTCCAAAAGACATGAGTAACTAAACTACTTACTTCTCTGGTTTAGCTACCCTAACAAAAATGTTCATTCATAGTGACTGTATCACCCTATAATTTCGTATATTTTCAAAGACATCCAGTATAAACGGAATTTTTGTGAGTTGCAGTATGTTTTAGTAAACTTTTATAATTAATAACACTTTATTTTTTTTTCAGCCAGAAACATCTTGCAGCAATTACATGTATCAAATTTTGACATGTAAGAAAGGAAGATTGTGAATATATTTATCTTTACAATAATTTAATATAACCTGATGTATGTGATCTGCATTATTAATATACATTCATGGGCATATTTAGAGGTCCTCAAATAAATTGAGACAGATTAGCATAAAAACAGAATTATAATATGTGTGTAATCTTTTAATAAGGATTGATTAAAGCAATTAAAAAAAATATATAGCTTTATTAAGAAAGTGAGAAAGTATATATGTTATAGCATGGTGCGGGTGACAGCTTACACGTTGGTGTGTCTAGAGATGGAACAATGTTAAATCGATTTAAAAACTGCGATTTTTTTTTATAGGATAGGGTGACAAACGAGCACTCAGTCCCCCTGATGGTAAGTGGTAGCTGTGACCCATAGACATCTACATTTATCCTCAATACAGAATCAAAATGCAGATGTGTCGTCACCCGTGACGACTAAAATGGAATGTTTCTTTTCCAGTTAGAAGGGTCTCCGGTTCTCTACACTCACCATACGCAACACAGCAGTGTCAAGCTGCCATTTTACGCTAGTATTTTGTGAGAGCGTGGTCCTTCCTCGGTCGAGCCGACCCATTCGTGCTACAACTATGCTACCAATATAGCTGCAGCATGGCTCTACCACGTAAACGTACACAAAGAAAATCAATAATTATCGATTAGCTATCGATATAAAAATTAAAGCTGAAACATATATTTTCTTTATAAACTACAATGCACGTAAAATTAAGTTAAAGTTTAATACAATGACAATAGTTTGTAATAGCTGTTCCTGGACCTCGCCCGCTTGGTATTTATTACGATTGGATCTCACGAGTTTTAATTTTTTTGCGCGGAATTCTATTTCTTTTTCTAAAATAAAAGTAGCCTGTGTTACTCCTTATAACATGAGCTATCATATCATATGCCAGTGCCAGCTATAAGCCGAAACAAACAGACATACATTTTAAAAATTGTTTCTTTCATATGTATTTGGTATATTTTGATATTACAAACAGACACTTCATTGTATGGATTATATTATTTATTCATTTGAAAATAAAAATAATCTATTTCATGTTGATTGCAACATTCATATTGACATTTAAACCAATAAAAAGGCTGCCAGCATCTGTAATTTTCACTACAGCGTTGACTGTAGCTTTTCGAGGTACGAGTAGCTTTCGCTCTATGTGTATTAGTGTTACCAGGTCCAATGGGCCAAATATCTGGACGGAAGGCGAAAATAATCGAGAATTTGGTTTACAAATCTAATGAAATAAAAATAAAAAATAGGTTTTTGTAGCCATTTTGGCTGCCATGAGTTATGGTAAAGTCTTTTTGACACATTGTGCAATTTGTTTTATAATTTTATTTATATTATATGGCAGTTTATCTAAAAAAAATACGAAACTTCATAGGCGTGAGCTGTCATTTGCACCATGCTACAACACAAATACTATGATTTTAAAAATTAAAGGATTTAAATGGAAGAGATTTTACTTAATATTTACAATAAAGTGTTTCCTGGGGTTTCAGGACTCCATTTCGGCCATGGCCAGCATCAGTGCTTCCACTGCTGTGCTCCGGTTTGAAGGATAAGAGCCAGTATAATTACTGTGACTGTGAAGCATTTCATCTCAGTTCCTCGGGACTGTACACCTTTAGCCCTCTTTGTTTGATGTCGTTGGATGTGTCCATGGACACCACTAACTACTTACTACCAGTTGAACTGTCATTTCGTTTGCCGCTCGAATATTATAAAAATATTATCTTTATTAAAAGTTCCCTCTAGCTGCCGAAATTGCATGCATGACGCAAAAGATATCACAGTATTTTCTAAAATATCCTTCACGTACCATACCAGGGACCCGTTTCACAAGATGAGTTCTATCTCCGTTCGCACTCTAATATAAATACCGCCCTATATCACTACTGACTCTAACTACGTTATACTCAGCGATAACCTTTTTATTATCTTAAAACAACACTAGTCAGTTTCAGTAATTTACTCCAAGCATTGTGCCTGTTTTGCTATGAACGAACTATAGCTTGACCTGTAGTAAGCTTCACTTGGTAACAATTTTCAGTTAAAGTTGCAGCTCGATAAACTTTAGATAAGCTGGGGGATCCGGCATTATAAAATGAGGTGTACGTAAAATGCAAAAAAATTGTAAAAAAAAAAATTTCTTAAATTATCATTCATGCTAATAATACTTAGCTGGAAAAAAATCATAAAATACGATGACGAGACGATACGAAAACTATTGAATACCGTGGTTTTTTTTTACAAATTACGGTATCAGTAGGCCAGGGAAACTAAATATTAAATATGTTTTTTTTCGTTTCTCTAAATAAGTCCATAAATTTATTTAAATTATTATCAATAATATCAACACAAGCTCGTATAATTAACATTAATAAAGTTTTATTGTAGCTAATTTGATGTTATGTTAAGTTATGATGGTTTTAATATATCCAAATACCTTTATAATGTACTCAATATCATTCAATTCAATGAAAGCTGCAAATATAAATTTTGTGGATAATAATAATTGTTAAATAAAATATGATGTTTGTTTCATTCATTTATTTGAAAACCTTACACTATTTGGCACAAGTTCAGGATTAAGAATTTGTATGTCTGTTTTTTTTAATCTAATAAACCAATTTATTAAGAAAGACAAGATGCCTGTATTGTCTTTCTCAAATAATTGACAGATGAAATTATACATAATAACTTGGTGGAAAGATAGGTAATTTAAAATTACAAAATATTTTATAGCGACGCATTTTCTTACAGCTGCATTAGTTCTTAGAATTTTTCTGTATCCAAGGCAAGAATGATGTTACTCGCGTATAAACGCCGGGATACTGTCCCTTTCCACAACCAATACCCCAAGAGACTACTCCAACTTGAGTCCATCGACTACCCTCGTTCACCATTAAAGGACCACCACTATCACCCTGTAAAAATTGAATAATATTATAAAAATAGAAATTAAACAATTAGATGCCATATTCATTGAAACTGTAACGACATACAAAATTTTATTTCAGTAAATCTGTTCAAAAAAAGGTTTCCAATAAGCAAAATTCACCTCTATTTTGTTTTTTGAATCTGATCATTTTGTAATAAGTCATTACTCGGCGTGTGACACTGTTCCACTGTTTACTTATACTTTAGAAATGCCACGAATAGTGACTACGAATATTTGGAGAAAGATGTGCGTATTTTGCACGTAAAAATTTACAGAGTGGAAGTATTTATTAGTTTATTTGCGATCAATTAGCCGAGTACTGAATACAAAAAATTAATAGGCTGAATACCGAATAGTAACTAAATATTTGTTGCATCTCTATTATTTTTTATTTTAATGTGAATTAGCTGGCCCGGCAGGCGATCTTCTACCCCTTCCTTTAGCTGGCGCGATGATTTTCTCTCCGAATTAATTCCGGACTGTTTACAATGTAGGTAAATATAAAATTTTGTAATAATAATTCTATCACAGCGCTTCATATAGGATCCAGATTATATGATTTCCTTTTTTAAAGCAACATATTATATGATATTGAATACGAGTAATTTTTTTGTTCATAACCCCGTAAATCCTACCTTACTTTATAAAGTTCAAATTGAAAATACCCATAGAGATAACAATTACGAATTATAGTACACAGCAGTTCAGGCTTAACATTTGAATGTTAAGCCTGAACAATACAAACAAGTCGTTCAGAAGTTACGCGATCACTAACAGATGCATTAAGGATTATATTATGTATGTTATAAAGATTTAAGTTAATTTATTAGTAAAAGTTGAAAGAAATGTAACTTACACTACACGAGTCCATGCTGGCCCTGCCTGCGCAAATCATGTGATCAACAATTCCACCAGGAGCCGCAGACCCGTACTTCAACCTACAATCGGAGTTTTGCCAAATTGGAATTGTTACTTCTTGCAAAACTGATGGCTGAGGTCCACCTAGGAAGAAATTATAGTTAGAATATTTCCTAGACTTTGCTTGTGTTGTATTTGTTTTGTCTCAGTATCAATAGCCTTTAAAGTCCATTACTGGACACAAGACATTCCATGAATGCGCTTACTAAGAGTCATGCCTCTTGAAAGATTGTATAAATTCACTAAGCCGGATATGTTGGTGATCGCAGAATCGATACTCTCGAATTGGCAGAGTATGGGACACATTACCAAATAACGAGATTTGGTTTCGACACAAAGCCTTCTTCGCCAAAAATTGGTCGCCAAAGGCCCTTAGATCAAATGGACTTGCTGATGATGTCACTTGGAGAAAAATTAGGAAATGTTCGATTTCAAACAGTAAGCTGTGTGGTGGTGGCGCAAGAAAATCCATCAGCCATTTCGTTAAGGAAGAAGGAAAGTCTTATAGTTTCCGATAGATAACCGGCGATGGGCAGCGGCAGCAATCCTCTCATCTACGGGATACACAATACACTTTTACGAGCTGATAAAGAAAGAAAAACACACATTTGAGGAGCGGCTGAGTTTAAGGTAAGTAGGTAGTGATAAAAATTATGATAAAACTAATCCTCGGCGTCGACATATCGAGTGACGTGCAGTTTCGTGGTCACTTGGCAGAGAAGGCCAAATTGGCATCTAAAAAGCTTGACGTGCTCAGTAGAGCTGGACAGTATTTCATGCCGGCACACCGCCTGCAACTTTACAAGGCGCAGGTTTGGCCTCACATGGAATACTGTTCCCATCTCTAGGCAGGGGCTCCCCAGTACCAGCTCATTCCACTTGACCGTATTCAGCGCAGAGCGGTTCGAATCGTCGACGACTCAGTTCTTCCCGATCGACTTGACTCACTGGCACTGGTAGGTAGAGGTAGAGATGTTGCATCTCTGCGTATTTTATCGCATGTACCATGGGGAGTGATCTGTGGAATTGTTCGGACTAATTCCAGCCGCTCAATTTCACCATCGCACATCGTGACAAAACTCGCGATACCATCCATACCATCTGGATGATTGACGGTCCACCACTGTGCGATTTGGGAGATGTTTTCTTCCTCGCACAATTTCCTTGTGGAATTGATTACCACCAGCGATTTTTCCGGACCGATACGACTTAGGGACCTTCAAGAAAAGAGCCTTTCAAAGAGAGATTCATGGGCTGCGGTAGTCACTTACCATCAGGTGAGCCGCATGCGCGTTTGCCTCCTCTCCTCCTCAATATTAATATTTTTTTATAGGAGGAGTCCTCCTATAAAAAAATATTAATTTTAAAAGTACAAGATTCGTAGATAGAATATGATGCAGTGTCTCTGATATTCACTGCACCATTAGGATGAGTTAGTGCCGCAATATTTATGTATGTATACACGTGTCCCAACATTTAACTCATGCGCAGTTGCAAACTTCGAAGAAAGGATTTTTGTTCTGTCACTGTGGTCAAAAATCGGCCAAGATGAAAAAGGTCTTATAAGTAGTTAAAAAACGCGATGCGCCTTTTTACAGAGCCTGTATGCGTCGCAGTCTCGGACACAGGCCTCCTCTAATTTAAGAGATTTTTTTCAAAATAGGATACGGGTAGATTTAAACTTGCAGCTTTTTTTGATAAATCTTATTTCAGCAATGTGATCATAATAAGTGAATAGATAACTGGACTACTACATTTCACTATTCTATATAACAATCTATATAACAAATTTGTTCGCCGCCATAGCTAAAAGTTGGCCATGTGTAAAAATAATTTTCTTTTTTATGCTTTTTTCACTTGTTTAGACCTAATTAAGTTTAGTTGACATCATACATCAGTTACAACCGGAAGGATACTTGTTTTTAGTGGGTAACTACGTGTTTTTCTACGTGTTTTCTTTGAAATTGAGAGTAAGTGACTTTTTTTATGCAGAGATTACAAACCTTTTGTACTATTTTTTGTTTTATAAAAAAAAATCATTTATATAGGTAGGTACAGCTAAATCTCCCTGGAAAACCTTGGTTTTTATTAAATTAAATTTTCACCTAATAATAACATTTGTAAATATCAAACAATCAATAACCTTATTTTGGAAAAAAATAAGGTTTATGATTCAATATCTATACATATAATAAAACTGTAAATAGCAGATGTCTGTACATTTTATATTTTTGTAATAAAAGTGATTGAGGGGTACTAAAAATAAGTAATTAAATACATTTCTACCATTTTTAGAATTTTCTGTCTGTCTGTCTGTCTGTCTGTTTGTTTGTTAACGTATCACGTTAAAAGTACTAATTTATATCATAAGAATTGTTAAGGAAATTCTAAAGTGTACCTTCGGGTTACATTTAGTCTTTATTTCATTAAAATCGGTTCATTCCATCAAAAGTTATGATAAATATTCTGAAGTATGGGTAGGGAATTTGCTCAACGGTGGCTTTGTTTGAGTCATCAAGTTGATGTTAGCAGCGCCATCTCTCTTTAATTAAATATATAGATATAATAAAAATGATGATAATATGTTGTGTCTCTTTCTGTACATTGTATATATATTTTGGTGACTAAAATCGTTATGGGGAACTAAAAATAATTAAATAAGTACATTTTTATAATTTTTAGAATTGTCTGTCTGTCTGTTTATCTGTTTTTATATGAATGCATCACGTCTAAAGTAAACATCTTTTATTTTTTCAAAGAAATCGTTAAGAAAATCATAAAGCGTATCTTCAAGTTACATTTAATCTTTGTTTTAATAAAATTGGTTAATTGTATCGAAAGTAATGATTATTATTTTAAAATGTAGGTTCGAATTTGTTCAATGGCGCCATAAAAATCTCAGAAATAGTAATAAAAAGATTTGTGTGTAAAAAAAACGTTCCATAATAATTAATATATTTATACTTAAAACATAAAACGAGATTTAAAAAAGGATGTTTTCTCACACAAAGGACGTAATAGATGGAGTTGTACAAATTACAAACTTTTCTGATTTGCTGTGTTGAGATTTTTCGCCGATGAATCGTATTGAGACTTACTGAAGAAATTTGTATCTATCGAAGCCATACAACGGAACCCGAACAAAAATAACAAAATTACAACGAAATGTCGTGATATTGTATTTATAATATACGCAAAATCAGTACTGCCATTTTAGCGCTTTGGGAACTAGATTTAGCGCTTTTTTGGAATGTATAGCGCGCATTTCGAAATTTTAGCACCTAGCACTTAATCCAGCGCTTTTTGGTGTATTTAGCACACATTTCAAAATTGTAGCGACTAGCGGGTTATTAACTCTTTTATAGCAGCACTGTTAGTCCACATTACCGATAATAATAATAATGACCTTTATTATTTTTTTCCACAAATAGTACATTGCAGTTTATCTTTTTCAAACATATTTTTTCCACAAAACAAAGAGCATGGGAGACGAGTCCAAACTAGGATACCCTGTGCTATGGATCTCCCGGCTTCCCCTTTAGGATGATCAACTTGATTTTTTTTATCGACGAGTATAAGCGGGGAAATCCCCTTCATTAAAGTTTTCGTTCATGGTTTTGGCAACACATTTATTTTGGTTTATTCAGTTTTAGTCAGTTATTTAGAGCACAGCTAAGTTAAAAGCTAAGTTAGTTATGGCAATTACTGTTGACAGCAATTGCCATAATTATAAGTCGATGTCCTGCGAAGTATTGATACATCAAAAAATATTGCCAGAAAAAAACTTAATGTTGTTTTCTTTATTATGATTAAATTTTTTTGAATTATAAATTATAATAAAAAACACAAACTTTGTTTGTAGTTAATTTAGCGCGAAATCTAGGGCTTTTTTAAAGCGCTGTTTTCATGAAATCTAGCGCTTTTTGTGTTGTCCTAGCGCTGAATGTGTTTTTTTGATCTGGCAGCACTGCCAAAAAACCCTCTATTAAGAAGTAACTTTCCTTTCAATTTTAAGCGCGTTCAGTTCCCAGTTACAGTCAGTGTGTGTTATGCGATGACCGTAAATAAAGCGCAAGGTCAAAATTTACGCGTTGTAAGAGTGGACCTCAGTACTGACTGTTTTGCACATGGCCAACTCTATGTTGCTTTTTCCCGCGTTAGTAGCCCCCGTAACCTTTTTGTGTACACCCCGGCTAAGTCTACTTCTAACGTCGTTTACACCGAAGTTCTATCATAAACTACTTAGAACTTTGATGATAATGATTTATTTGTTATCACTTATTGATACAGTAATGATATAAATCGTTTAATATTCTCTTACCTAAACGACAAATTCTTTATGTAAAATCTATATACGCGAGCTACGCCGCGGGCACAGCTAGTAATGAATATTTGAGATTGCAAAATAATGAATATTTACAAATGTTTAATATTATTTAATAGATAGATAGATAACAGTTTATTGTACGCCAAAAAATAACAAAAATATTAACAAAAAATGAAAACCAGAAATGTGGTACAATGGGCGGTCTTATCGCTAAGAGCGATCTCTTCCAGACAACCTTTGGATGGACAGCAGTGCAAGAAAACAATAAAAACGTGTGTGGTTTGCTGACAAAATAACATTATTTTTATTAAAGCCATAAAATAAAAATATATTATGGTATATAAGTAACTACATAGATAAGATAAATACATATATACCTATTAATATATATGTATTAATATACAAATAAATATATATTTTTATAAATATATAAAAGTACAAATATATACTTTAAAACTATTACATATAACATAAAAGTGCCATACATATAAACAAATATTGTAACTAAATAAAGCAGAATAATTATATACAAATGAACTAGATAGAATCAAAGTTGAAAAAAGTAATCAGCGCGTCTTGCTGTTTAATGTTATACAAATGTAGAAGTAAAGTCAATCTGAATATGTCTAATTAGTAAAAATAGCAAAACAAGTGTTTTCAAAAGGAAAAAAAGGCCGGCGCTATACGGCGGCGGATTGACAAAAGACTATTTACTACTATTAGCGATATATAAAAGACTATTAGCGAACTTTTTTATGCATGAGCGGTTTCGAACCGTTTGTTTCAAGCAAAGATAAACCTTATACCATATCACAAGAGCACATGGTACTTCGTAGGAAACCATATTCGGCCATATGAAAGTAATAAGGCAGTTCAACCATTTTAAGAAAATTAAACAATAAGACAAACGCATTGTTTTTTTATAACAGGAGACTTGTTTTGCAGAAATTTATTTACAACTTGAGTTTGTGAGCGATCGCAATGAGTGCTATTATTTATTACTTATTAGACTATTTTTTCACATCATGTGAAAAACCCACAAAGTAAAAAGAGTACCATGTACAAGTTAAAAAAAGGTTGTCAACCCCTAAAAATTTCAAAATATCCAGTAATGAAGCTGTACTTAGGCATGAACTACTTGCAAAATAATGAATATTTTGTTGTGGATAAATCTTCCAAAAACGCAATTTGAGCGAGTTATAACGATTTAAAAAAAGACACGACTCGCGTGTCATACGCCACACACACACAAAAACAATCGATGGCGCGCCTGGCGTGCCATCCGCACTGAACCTTTTAATTACTTTGGATGTTCTTACTTTAGGCGCAGAACTTTTTACTCACGTGCAGTATGTACATACTAATAATTTCTTCCAGACCCGAATTTCGGTCACTGTGGTCAGTCTCAACGGTGACTAACCATCTGCGCAGGACAGTATTATAGTATCCTACAGTAGTGATGGCACATCCTTTAATGCGTATTTATCTTAATAGGTACATTAATGACAGGTAAAATATGTGAAATCATTATTTTTATAAAGGCTTCAATCGTATTGCTTTCATTTATTGTTACTTACTTTCTCGCAAACTTCCCCATCCGATCACAGTAGCCACAAGACCAGCGTATGCTTTGCCGCCGCTAGGCAAGCATATAGGTCGAATTGTCTTTGAGAACGTTACTGGATGGTCTATCGTCAATAACGCAACGTCGTTGTACTGAAAAATACATTTTAAAGAGTGTTATGGTTCAATGATGAATGAGTTGATATAAATGTGAATATTTTATTCTTATAATATTATCTGTTGTTGGATATCGAAGCTTTGTGAGGGATACGAAGATGTTGACGCTACTTTCCGTTACCAGTTTATCATGTATTTTATATATTAAGGTTGTATCACTACCTGTTTATATTAATCTAGTTAGTAAGCTATTATGTACACTAGAAGATTGCGATTGATGTGTTGTAGGCTAAGACTTCTATGGATTATACTAAACGAGCACTAAGGTATTAGTCATATATTTAGTATTAACTGATATATCTATGGTAATAATACATTAAGCACTAAGTTACGGTTGATGCCCCGTAACTATAGTCGACTGCGAGTGGGCGAGAACTAGTCCATTGTTTTATAAACCGCGAACGTTGTTTTCAACAATCTAATACTGATTTTGTTTAATGTGACTAATAAAACACTGTCATTATTCATGTGCGCACTTTGTCAACGTGATTTGAAGTTTATTTCAGTCGTAAATTAAAATAGGTTAATCACATAGTTCAGTAAATTCGCTTTGCTTATTTCCACATTAAGAGTACAAATATTATTTTGGAATATTCCAAAATATGTGATGAGAAGTAACCATTACTGTTATGTAGGTACTAAGGTAGTTAGTGAACATTCGTCGCTATACTGCAGAGCAATAACTTAGATATATTTAGATAGAAGTTTCACGTTTAAAATATTTGTAATAAAAGTTTTTGTGTTTATTTAAAAGTCATTGTATTTGATTAGTAATCATTTGATGAGGGGTTCCATAAAATAAAAGGGATTTTTAAGAGTTTAGGAACCCCTGATCTAAGCTGAACTGTTTAGCTTACTGTGTGGCTGGCGGTTAATTAATCTGTGTAGTGAATAATGACTGCAGCATGAATGCAAGCAATTAGAGAAGGATTAAACTCACATAAATCACCATTAAATGAATCAAAAATACCAATACTTGCAGCATAATGTTGCAATTTTTCATAATATGGTCAGTGACTAGTAGAGAGGACTGTTTTCACGAGAAATAAGGCATTTCATCTTACATAGATTACGTTCGATATCGAGATATCGACAATATTCTGTTACTATCAGGTGAACTGTGGACTCTTTTGACATTCTGATTTCTACAAGGTAGTTAGAAACACTTATGTCAAACTTATTTTAATCACAAGTAAACACTGTTAGTTATAATAATATCAACAAAATTATAAAATTCCTGCTTGCCACTTTTACTTACTAGTACAAACTCAGAAGCGCGCAAATTTTTAAGAGAGAGAAAGAAGTACTTTTTTTAAGTCATCGCTCGATCATAATGAGCCGTTGTAGCTCAAGGGCTAAGCAGTCTCTGTAAATTTCATAGTACGCGAGCAACCCGGGTTCGAACACCGCTGGCACCAATGAAATTGTTAATTGCAATTTCAAGTGTTGAATTACCACGTGCTCAGCGGTGAAGAAAATCGTGAGGAAACCTGCACGTCTGATAAATAAGAAAAAAATATTTCGAAGATATGTGAAGTTCGTCAACACGCATTGGGGCAGCGCGGCAGACATTTTCTTGGCCTATAGCCCCCTCAGAAATGAGAGGAGCCCTGTGTCCAACAGTGGGACGTATATAGGCTGTAACTTCGATCATAACACTTCCTCAAATTTTACTTTCAAACCGTATAAGATTTGTGTATAACAATCTAACTTAGTACTTACCAATGTCTGCATGTTAAAACCTCTGTGTCTCACAACTCTCTTGATCTTGCGCTCAATGTGTTGAGTTTCGGTGTTAGTGCGAATATTGTGATCGCCAAGACGTGCGGTCAAACGAGCCACATCCCATGAGGTCATGCTAAAATATAATACACCCTTCTATAGTTAAAGGATACCTATGTGTTTTCAATGAAAACACCTCGATAATATGAGATGGTGCATTTTGTTTCTTACTTATAAGTATGTTCTTCGTTATTAGTCACTTTAAATTACTTATTGGTTTTACAATGTACTTTCTATATCGATAACTACGCACTACTAATTTTACTACACGGTAAGACTTTTTTGTCTAGGAATCGGTCTGGGTAAACATCACCCCCCATTCTTCTGCCTATTCTGCAAACATCAGTGCTGTGCGTGCAGAAAATCATTACGTAATTTGCAATAGCTTTTAGGTAATGTTTTTTTTTTCTAACCAGTGAAAAAAAAAGAAAAACGTTTATTTGTTTTGGTCACAGCTCATAAACTACGTTATGAAACGATTTTTCCAGTATTTTAAATACAATATAATATGGCAAGTACCTACATAATATACTAAATATATAGAAATGTTTTCACAATTTTATTTCCTAACAAATTTAGTTTATGGGAACGAAAAAGTGGTTCAAACTGATTTTATTTTTGGGTCAATATTTTGTTTTCGGTCAACATTCTTCACCAAATATCCAAATTTCAGGTATGTATCTAATTCCGTCTAGAAGCTAGGGGTCCGTGATGAACTACGGATAGACAGACAGACAAACAGTAGAGTGACATTAATAGCTCCGTTTTACTCTTTGATACAGAACGCTAAAAAAATCATGAAAAACAAAAGCTAGGTAAAAAGCTAAGCTAGGTATGATGCATTAAAATTATTACACTTGCTTCAAGCTTTAATAACCATCGAGCCCGGTCGAGCTGACCCTTTTCGTGCTGCAAAGGGTCGGCTTGGTCGGAAGGACTACGATGTCACAGAATACCAACATATCAGCTTAACGCTTCTTTGTTTCATATTGTGAGTGTAGAAAACCGGAGACCCTTTTTACTGATAACAAGGCATTTTATGTTAGTCCTTAGGGATAACAATGCATTCTACATTTTAAGATAAATGTAGGTGTCCATGAGCCAAAGCATCCATTAACCATCAGGTGCACCGTGTTTGTTTGTCACCCTTATTCCGTAAAATAAATTCACCTATCATATACAAAGATCATGGCATTAAGGTATGTAGGACACTTTTTCGAATTATTACACAAATAGCGTAATATAATACCGAAATAGAAAATATATGTAATTTAAACAAATAATCAAATATATATTAATATTCTTTTCTTTTCTTTCTTTTCCTTTCTTTTTATAAAAATCGTTACCCCCACACTAGGATTTTCTCCTGTGTCGTGGAGGCAGTTTACAAACACAAATTGCACAAGGACAAACATCCAGACCCGTAACAATTATTTGTAGGCCATACAAATACTTGTTCCGTGCGGGATATCGAACCCGCGGCCCCCAACGCAACAACTCATTGCTAAGCCACTGCGCCACGGAGCATAACACAATATAATAAAGTTTACACTTATATACATCTATAAAAAGGTATGCATATGTTTCGAGATATCACAAATCATATCACTGTACTATACTGTGTGTAGTCAACAACAAGACGATACTCTCAGTTTTTCCACATTGTCCACCTGACGGTAAGTGGAATCTGTAATCTATTTTATCTAGCCACTATATCTGAGGCTTGAGGATTAAGATGGAATTCCTCTTTACCATTAAAAAAAATTCCAATCCTCGTCACTTATCATGAGCATACAGTCGAATTGTGAATCTCCTCTTTGTTGTAGTCGGCTAAAAATAGAAATAGTTACGACTAAGGCTGAGTGGAGAGCGTTCGGCGAGGCGTTGCTGCGGCATACATTTTGAGCTGCTCCGGAAAATGTAATAAAAGCATGTGTTTGTCATGCGCATTAAACGACCCGCCCCGCCCTGCTGCACGCTCGTCACTCAATTGTCTACACTTACTGAGCTACACAGTGCGCTGCGGAGAGAATGTGTCTATCGTCAATGAGGGAACCACCGCAGAACTGCCGGCCACCGTTAAATAGCGCCACAATCCATGGCCACTCGTTCAATTCAGCGTTATGGCCACCCACTATTCTTTCTTCATCTTGCAACTCGTAAGTACTCTCGTAGGTCTAAATACAGAGACAAATTATACATACTTATTTACTTTAACTTCACCATATTAACTATTAATATACATACATACATATAAGTAGACGGACATATTGCGGCATTCTCTAATAAATAAATAAAAAATATATGATGAGTAGGAGAGTCGGGTATACCTCAAAACTTCAATACGAGATTGTGGAACTAGTGCGTGATGCTAGTGATGACTTATGAATCTGAGACGTGGTCCTGGCCGTATGAGGAAGCTCAAGGTCGCACATCGAGCTATGGAGTAAGCTATGCTCGGGGTTTCTTTGCGTGATAGACTTAAAAATTAGGATATCGGTATTAGAACAAGGGTAACCGACATAGCCCAACGGATTAGTAAGCTGAAGTGGCAATGGGCCGGCCATATAGCTCGAAGAACCGACAACCGAGGAGGGAGAAAATGTTCTCGAGTGGGAAACTCGTACCGGTTAGCGAATTGTAGGGCAGCCTCTCACTAGATGGAGTGAAGACCTGGTAAGATATGCAGGAAGTCGATGGATGTAGGATCCATCGACTTGCATATCTTACCAGGATCGTGCTTTGTAGCATTCCTTGGCCTATGTTCAGCAGTGGACGTGTAAATGTGTGTAGTGGCTCTAATGATGTTGATGATAATGAGTAGGATGAAGGGTGACACTTAAATTAAGGTTTTAATTTTCGTTTTAAACGCTACCGAGAGCTTATTTATTTGGGTTGGAATACCTCCTCGTAGAGTTGGCGGATTGCATGACAAAATGAAACACAATTACGGTTATATCAAAGTACAAAGAGTCAAGTCAAGCCAAAGAGATTTAAATATATAGGTATACTATCTACTTAAATGTCTTTGAGTCAAGCTTTTCAGATCGTAAGGGTCACTGAAGTCATAATAGACTATAGTTAACATGATGTGGAGTTCAATTATTAAAAAACAGAAGTACCTAGTAAAGAAAGAAGATAGGTAATTAAAATTTCATATACAAAAATTTATATTATAATTACCTGAGGGCCATTCTTTATACCACATGAACTATCCACAGAAGGCTGACCTGTTGGCTTTGTTGGTTGTGTTGGTTGTGTTGGATATATAGGAGGCCATGTCTAGAAGAAAAAAACGTATTATGACCATATTGTAATATTGGAAATTATTTAATTTTATGCTACGATTTCATTATCCTAAATTCTAATAAACTATGAAATTTTTGTTTTAAATAACAATTTTTCCGATGTTCATATTTATATTCATCAATGTAATAAAACGGAACATTTGGTTATTGATAATTATTTCATTAGGATTATATTACCTATTTGCAATTGTATTATCAAAAATCGTCCTTTATGATAATATATTTTTATGATAAAAACTTTAGAAGTTTCTATGTAATTACACAACTATGCACGGAATGAAACCAGATCGCCGTCGAGTAGGCATACACAAACACACCCACACACACCCACCCACACACACACACACACACACACACACACACACACACACACACACACACACACACACACACACACACACACACACACACACACACGGGCGCGCCCTCGCGCGCATGCATGCAAACACGCATGCACGCACGCATGCTTGTATTTACGCACGCACTCTCACACACACCACATCTCACACGACTCAACACTTCCCCTCCCAAAAACCACAGTATTTGACTTTAAAGACCTTCAAATGTAAATTAAGTAAAAATTTTAAATCTTACCTGCTTCGTAGTGCTTGCTGGAGGCTTTGTTCCCCAAGTAGTTGGTTTGTTTGTAGTTGGCTCTACATTACCTGCGACTATAAATCAATTTTTATATAGAAGTCAATTACAAATATTAAAAGCTTAAAGCTACTCGTGGTATTTTGTCAAGAACGCTCGTTTTGCTTCCTCTCTGAATGACTAGTGCGTGATAAAAAGAACTGTATTCGCAACTGACCGTTACCGCCAGCAGATGACGGTCGCTGGCGACAATACAATAATACTCGGAGTACAATTCCTTTAGAAATTTTACCGCGCGAGGACCCCACGAATCGATAGAATCTACAGTGAATAGTACGGTAGCAGATATTTAAATAAAATATATACCAATCGATGGCGGATGCGTAGCCGCAGTGTGATGAGGTGGGTGAGTTGGCAGCGGCGGGATAGTTGGTGGCCAGTTGGCTGGTATATATCTTACACGGTTCGCGTCCCCAAACGTCCACTGATGTGATAACGCAGACACGATGCCTCCCGAAAACCTGGTGAAATACGAATAGTATCTTCGTTACTTTTCGTTTAACTCTTATACACGTATTATGAAATATTACGTTAAAACGTATATAATTCAACTAGCGGCCCGCCCCGGTTTTGCCCGGGTTGAACAATATCTTAAATATTAGGTAGATATAATTCATTTTAAAACTTCATGACGCAGTGCACGCCGTAGAAGCTCTTAAAAGGCACGACCACAGAATAAATAAAGTATAGACGGTAGTTACAACCATATTGTTGTCTTTTAATTCGACGCTAATGCCAGTTGCAAATTGTCATAATTAGTACTAACCTATACACAATGATAAAATTAAGAAAGATTTATTTAACGATTAGTCTTGAAGCTTGTACTCCAGCTTAATTGTGAATGAGATCTCTCTTATTTGGGCTAACAAAAAGATCTATATATGTATACCCGCACAAAAGAAAACATATCTGATGTGAAATACCGACGCTCCAGGAAGTCTGCAGTTTGTGGTCATATCTTAGACAGCCCTCGCAGTTACATCACATTTCGCGTAATAACATCGATTCCTAACATGGATGATACGTAAGGCAATTGAAATTTAAGTAAAAATTATTAAAAAAAACTTAGAGAAGGATGATGGGTATTACCACCTGCTTGGGAGCTGATAATTAATAAAATTAAAACTAAAACCAAGCAAACCACTGCAAGACTTCAAGATACTGTAAGCTCATTCTACGTAGATCGGACCAAACTGAATAATTAAAAAGCTGAAGGTACTCCGGGTTAACTTTGATATCTGGACGTCAATCACCTTAGTTAATCCCCTTGTGACCATGGTGTTGCAAAGCACCCGAAACGTCGGGAATCAAAAATAAGTAAAATTAAATGCGATAAAATTTGTGTGTGTGTGTGTGTGTGTGTGCGCATGTGCGTGTGCGTGTGTGTGTGTGTATGCTGTGTGTGCCTGTGCGTGCGTGTGTGTGTGTGTGATTGAGATCATTGTATAATACTTACTAATACAATACTTACTAATTACTATTGCCAGAAATAATAAGTTAACTTTGTTTCTTACCCGGCAAAATGGGCAAGCGGTGCTTGCGCTGGTATCACTGGAGGAACTACGCCGAGTCGTTGAACATCAGGCTCTTGCTGTGGTGGCGTACCTACTGGTTCCGTACAGCATACTCCGAATACCTATTCAAAATTATTTGAAATAAGTTCGAATAAATTTAATTATTTTGTTAGCATTCCTACGGCAAGAGACAATGTCAAAAAGACTCGTCAGTTAATAGTTGTTTCAAGATGCCCGTACAAGGCAAACAGCTCGTAATGCAACAGCGGTCTTGTTGTATTGTAGTTGCTTTTTGTATATTTATTATTTTATTTTTAAAACTATCTTGGTAATTTAAAACGTCTGCCACATGTACTGGTATAATGTATGGTATAGCATTTTTACATATTTTTTTTATTTTATGAATATAAAATGTAAAGTAATTTAATTTTAAAATAGCACAAAGAATAAATCTGAATACAGCGTTTGACTTTAAACCAATTCTATAAATCTTTAAGTTTGCTTAAAATATTTTTAAATAAGTATTTAATTGGATTCGGTAAGCAAGTGTGAAAGAGTATTCTTACTATGAACGAATATCATCATGAAGAATTGGAAATGATCTCACCTCCATATTGTTAGAATTGACGTAACTGCATGTATCGTAGTGACCCATCACCCATCCGTCCCACCCGGATAGATCAACCACCTTGAAAAGTGGGTAGCAATCGCGAAAACTCTTACATGTTCCCTTCTTGCCTATAGTTGTTTCACAATCCAACCCGAAAGCACCATCGTCCATTGTTTGTCCCTGGATTTGATGTGAATTCATTAATAATACAACTTAAGACAAGAAAAATAAAAAAAAATTTAATTCGCATGTATACATGCAACCTTCATGAATTTGCACCAAAAAAAAAATGTTAAAGTCTTTTACCTGTATAATAATATTTCTTAGGCGTGTCTGAACTTTCAATTTATAATATTAATTATGATTTACATACTTCATAGCAAGATAAAATTAAAAAAATAATTTATTTCCATACAAGAACTACAAGCGTGTTTATCTATAACGTACTTATTATATTTGTAAATTATAAGAAAAGGTTGTCTTTGTGATCAAACTTTTAAATGTTTGTAGTTATCTTAGATAATACGTAACTACTGTATTTTCACCAAGTTTATGCCTAGTTTGATTACTGAATACATAATTTAAAATTTAGAAGTTTGTTCAACCGACTTCAATATAAATTGAGGTTTAAGAAATTTATTTCCCAAAAGAGTATACACTCACTTACTGAGAAACATAAAAGAAAAAAAAAAGAAAATGGGTTTTGAGTAGGCATAACATATCTGTGGACTTACATTAAATATTAAATATGAATATAAAATCTTGCACAAAAATATAAAAAAGACAGAGGGTAATTTAAGAATATTTCATATAAATTATTAAGAATAACTCAAAAACTAATGGTCGGACCTTGATCAAATTAATATGGGACCACATGAGAATCTCCAGATTTCACATAAAAAAAGAATAGTCGAAATCGGTTCACCTAGAAAAAAGTTATGAGGTAACATACATAAAAAAAAAACAAAAAAAAACATACAGTCGAATTGAGTACCATCTCCTTTTTGAAGTCAGTAGAAAAGCAATTGGCAGATTAGTAATTATTAATAACCCAAAATCAAGTTATTTACTCAGATATCGAAGTCTTTTCTTAGCTCAATCTAATAATTTGTTACCAAGCCAATACTAGATTTTAGGGTATAGAGAACATTTTAAATTATGAACATTAGTTACGGTTTTAGTTTAGGTTGAAAACCGTGTTTCGGTCGCACTCTACATGCTCTTATTATAAAACCAATCTATGTAACGAAGACGAGATTCGTCAATTTTATTTTCGTGTGAATAAAATTTAAAATACGTGTTGTTGAATTAAAAAAAGCATCAGGTTTGTTAGTGTTTCCTCTTTCTAATCATGTGCTTTCCAAAATATATTAGTGCAATCTGAAATAATAAACACGACTTAATGTGAGTGAAACGAGTGATTTAAAAAATTCGATAGTAGATGCCAACCTCTCCGCTTCGCATTCGATGTGTGCAAAACCACTTTGAAAAACACTTTAATTGTATTTATAATTCAATATTCGGTTTTCGGTCAACGCTCTACACCCAATATCCAAATTCCAGGTCTGTAACTAATTACGTCTACGAAGCAGAGATCGTCATATCGATCGATCGTCAGATCGTTATAAATAGGGTTCTGAATTCCGTCTTTTCCAACTCTGACATTACATTAAGTATGAGAGAAATATGTAAATATGTGTATAACATTTACACATTACGAAAAAATTAGAACTTGCCTGTCTAAGTCGCAGCAGTAGCATTTGCTTGTCATTTCGAGTAGTGTTTACTGCTTCACGGCGCACGCGCTTCACTGCCGCTGAAAGTATACGGCAATACGAGCAAAATATTATGCGGAATACTTTGATTATTTATTATGAACTAAAAATATTACTTTAAGTTTTTTATTAGGTTTATTTTTATCAGGCTTGAAAGAATGCTTCTACGTGGTAGAGCCATGCTGCAGCTATATTATGGTTGTAGCACGAATGGGTCGGCTCGAACGGGGAAGGACCACGCTCTCACAGAAAACCAGCGTAAAATAGCAGCTTAACGCTGCTGTGTTTCGTATGGTGAGTGTAGAGAACCGGAGACCCTTTTTACTGGTAAAGAGGCATTCCATCTTAGTCCTCACGGGTGACAACGCATCTGCATCTTGAGTCTTTATTGAGGATAGATGTAGATGTCTATGGGTCACAGTAACCACTTACCATCAGGTGGACTGTGTGCTCGTTTGTCACCCGATCCTATAAAAAAAAATCATTGTTGCATTTTTGCTGTGGTTATTAGTGAAGTTGAAGATAATTTAACTTATCAACCGAGCAGCGTCTAGTGTGGATAAAAAATTACTGCTATTGCGTTGTCGTTCTGAAAGGAGTAATTTATAACCTAATCTTTCACGTGGGTGTCATGAATGGCCAATCATTTCACGTCCCCGACGTTGCATAAAGGTTTGAATTACGTATGAGTGATGTTCAGCCACCAATGCGTATGGATATTTAAAAATAATTACATAACCCATTCGACGAGCTACCTGGTGTGGATCTGCAAAGGTATCTCCCACCGTACCTATTGTTGCTGCCAAATAGGCGTGCCCCCCGATGTGGTCCAGTCAGAAAGGTAGATAGATCTATATCTATATGCTGGTATAATTGAATAGGTTATGATGCATCCGGCCTTAGTCCTCAGAGGTAACAACGCATCCGTAGTCTTCTTTGCTTGAAGTTGGTTGCTGGTGTCCATGGAATGCAGTAGCTATTTAGGATCAAGTGGACTGCAAGTTCGTTTGTCACTTCAGTTTTATAAAAAAATTCTATAAAGAAGAAATTATTTATTACTTTATAAGATTACATCAGCAATATTTTATCGATCGATGCTAAAATTTTATTCTTCTTATTAACTTGTCAATAATATTAAAGGAAATAAAAACGTAAAACTTTTTAATTAAAAAATATGTGACAATTATTAAAATTTAGGAGCTTGAAATGCCTCTTCGATAAATATGCACCAATAAACAAAGTAATTAATTGAGGCTAATCAAATTTAATAAAAACTTAATTATACTTAATCAGTACTAATGCTACATTTGAAGTCTTGTCTTTTTAATTTTGGAATGTCAGTGACCTAGCGAGTAAATGTGATTGTTATTCACAAAAGTGTTCGCATACTTACTAATCTTTATGACTAATATCGAAGACGAATGACAATAACGTTTATTTGGTTTATTTGGATTTGGCCGGTCATAAGCCCTAGTGGTTTTGTGCTTTTTTATGATCTGAGCAAAAAATAAAAGTTGATGTTTTTTTAGTCTTTCATGCCTCTGACTTTGCATCTGAGCCTACCTCCAATCTTATCGTTATGCAGACTATGCAGGTAGTGGAATCCTTCACCTCATTTCGTCTCATGGGTGTTCTAAATTCCATCCAGACCTTGAGGAGGAAAACTGCTCCTTATCTACTTCTGGATATGGTTCACTATCATATCAGTGAGTTTTCCTGTAATTTGCGATTGTGATGGCAGTATAGAAGTCTTGCACCTTTGACGCTCCTCTCCGTCACCCATCTTGGGACTTTATGCATGTTATATTTACGAGATGATTATTTCGCTATCTATTGTAGGTCATAGACCTGATTATATTAAGTACTAGCTGTTCTCTGCGACTTTGTCCGCGTGAAATTTATTACGATTGGATTTCATGAGTATTAATTTTTTTGCGCAGAACCCTAATTCCTGTTCTTAATTAAATGTAGCCTAAGTTAATCCTTATAACATCAGCTGTCTGCCATTGAAAGTCTCATCAAAATCTTTTAAGCAATTTCGGAGATAAATAGTTTATTGAAAATCAAGTAACTAAATCGAGTTAGACATGCATTTTTCAATAACCGTATTTTTATTTACTGCTCCTGGAAATAAAACTACAGCGTATCAAAACCTTAAAGCTACACAATAAAACACTTATTTTATGAAAACAACACAATTGTGTAAGACCAACTCAATACAGAGAAGTAAGAGAAGTTTACTAACGCTTTGTCTAATATTTGGTGATCTAGCCGAAAATTATTTGTTGAATACGAATAGTTGATAAACCTACGGAATTTGAAAAGAATTTTTGGCCTCGACGCGTATGTTAACCGAATTCTCGCAAAGGGTTTATTTATTTATTTTATTAGGCACTCCCAACAATGAGTACACTGTTACATACATATGGAATGACATCACAATTAATATAACTAAATGTCCCATTACTTACAGTGGGGCACCACATGCATAAAAAAGAGACTTTACGTTGATTTTACAACAGTACATAGGTACAATTTAACTGTAATAAAATTTTAATTTAATTTAATAATGAAGAAACTTCCATTACAACATAGCCTTAATCGCCGATAACTACTTTTTTGATGCCAGCCATCGAGGTTGAGAATAGATCTATTCTGCTTTGGTATTCTTTATATAACGGAAACATTCTTGTTAAGGAACAGTGTGATCTTAAATTAGTTCGACCTTGGGGTGCAACAAATATTTTGCGGTACATTGAAATTTATCTTACTTAGAAGATCGGGACAGTCCAAAAATCCAGTCACTAATTGGGTTGAACCAAGCTTAGCTTAGCTTATATTTCAGGTCTAAGGCTGAAAATAGGTGAAAGTTTTTAATGAACTATTTACATGACATTCTAGTTACCTTGAAGTTGTGATATTATTACGGCTTTGATTCTTCGATATATGTCTTGCACTGAATCCAGAAGCTTTTATGTAAAAATACAATTAAATAACTATTTAATTACTAATTATTCAAGACGATTTTATAAAGTTTGTTAAAAGAAACGTTAATAGTAAAGTTACAATCTCTATAATATGTCTCTCATTTGTGAGCGAGTTATGGAGCGATTTGTGTATGACTCCAGTGTGTATGTTTAAGTTATTTAAAATAGTAAGTTGTTACATAACTTAATACATAAACGAATTAGCCGTGTAGTGGGGTGTAACAATATTATCCACTACCCCATATCGTCCGGTAGATGTCGTAAGAGGCGATAGAGGGAAACTGAAACAGAAGATGGGCAGCAGCATCTCCTAACAACTCAAAATTATAAAAAAACTGCGGTTGCCAACTCACCTGCCAAGCGTGGCAACTGTGAATATCCCTATGGCCTATGTTCATCAGTGGACTATCATATGCTATATTGGATGTTTGAATGAATAAACAAGTTTCTTTCGTATAAATTAGTGAAAAACGCAGCTGTTATATGTTTGCGCTTATGGAATCACAGCCAGAACTTCTATAAGTCGTTAACACTTTGTTTACACATTGGTTGCAGATGACGTGTAAGAATTTGCAAGGAATTCCTGCATATGTTTACCTCATTCTTGCTTTTTCTGTATCAGATACAGAGGCGTTGCGGTACAATACTCCCCGTATTTGTAAGCGTTACCCAATTGCTTATTCTAAAAGCGTTTTAAAAGCATTGGTCCCAACATGCGTACAAGTTATTTTGATCACCGCGTAACGGCAACTGTTTTGTATAAAATCAACACTACGGCATCCGACGCCATTTCAGTTGTCATTGTGGTCTATCTGAATGGTAAGTGTAATGTCATGCAATTGACATAATTAAGGAAGTAATAAAATGCAGAATAAGTTATGGTGACCGAAATTCGTTAACATTAGTCATTGCGCACCCAGCACGCGACAGCATAGAGTACAGTAATACGTGCGTGATAGTGAGTCGGGTCGGGTTCTAGCCGCAGGTAAGTATAATGTGTTTTTTAGTCAGGTGAGATATACTGTCGATAAACTGCTATGACACTGTCCACCTACTACTAATTATATCTATCATTCTTTTAACGAAATTAACCCATTTATGCAGAAGGCTTTTTAAAACTTAAATTCTAATTTATACAGGGTTATTTTTCAAAGAGTAGTCAAATTATAAACTTAATTTCAAATATATAAACAATGATATATCGTTGTTGCAATTTTTGAAAATACAAGTAAATAAGGCTTTTATTTGAAACTGTTCCGAAAAGAATGTGATTTGGCAACAATGTTTTTGCATATCGATCGACCCTTACGAATGTTTGTGTGCGCAGTAAAATCAGTTAAAATAATGCATTACCACGCATTTTGAATTTAAAAGATAACAATTAAAAATTAAAAATTTAGTACAACCGACTTCAATATAAATTATTAATAATAACTCAAAAACTATTGACAGACCTTGATAAAATTTATATGGGACCACATGAGAAGCACCAGATTTCAAATTAAAAAAGAATCATCGAAATCGGTTCAGCCAGAAAAAAAAAGTTATAAGTTAACACACATAAAAAAACATACAGTCGATTTGAGAACAGTCTCCTTTTTGAAAACGGTAGAAAAGGACAGAATATTTGAGATTTTTTAGAAATTAATTTTTCTTCACCATTTGCCTATATTACTTATTCAGAATTTTCAGCCGGTTATTAGAAAATAACCGCCTGTATAGTAAATTTATTTTTAGACCGATTGAAACTTAATTTATAGATGTAAGTAATACTCAGCTGGTGTATGGTTGTGTTACCGAAGACAAAGTCAAAGTCAAAACATCGCTTCAACAAGTCCCTGCTGCGGAGACTTTGTGACAAGAAGCGGCAAGAACCTCACAAGTAGACTCCCCCAACAGTTACAATCTGGTTATGCTATATTAACCAGAGTCGTTTGTACACAATCCCTAACGCAATCTTTATGTTATGTTAGGATGAAGTTGTTTGCTAGTTTCCATGACCTGGGGCCACTTATTATCAAGTGCACTGTTAGCCCATTTGTTAATTAACATCTAATTATAACATAACATAAACACTCACGCCTGTTACCCAGAGGGGTAGGCAGAGATTATGGACTTCCATTTGGCACGATCCTGACACACCTCTCTCGCTTCCTCCACATCCATATACCTACGCATACACGCTCGTCGGTTAAAGGTACTCTTGATATGGCCCATTTTTAATATATCGCCAATTTGGTCGATAAACTTTCGCCTAGGGCGACCCTTCCCGACTATGCCGTTCACTTCTGCAACATAGATTTGCTTTGTCACTCTTTCCTCATTCATTCTTTCTACATGGCCAAACCACCGAAGCATTCCTTTCTTAATCCTGGTCACAATATCATCTTGCAAACCACACTCTTCTCTTATTAAACAATTTCTCACTCTGTCATTCAGCTTCATCCCTAACATACTACTTAATGACCGCATTTCTACAGCATTTATTCTACTCTCATGCTTCTTCTGCCACACCCAACTTTCACTACCATACATTAAAGTAAGTACTAACACAGCATTGTGAATTGCCATACGTGCCTTTTTGGACACATTCTGACTTTTCACAATAGAGTGTAGAGCCCCATTCACTCTATTTCCTGCATTCACTAGTCGTTCTATATCCTTATCATATCTACCATCCCTGCTAAACACACATCCCAAATATACAAACTCATCTACTTGCTCTACCAACTCCCCTTCTATTCTTATTTCACATATCGTTTTGCTGTCTTCTCTTTCAAAAACCATAACTTTCGTCTTACTTGCGTTCACTTTCATTCCCTTTTCTTTTAATGTCCTGTTCATTAATGTAACCATCATTTGCAACTCGGCTGCCGACGATGCAAGTATGACTTGATCATCGGCGTACAAAAGGCATTTGACGGTTAACTCACCCATTCTTAACCCGCATTCTTCTACTTTCAAATTTTCCAAACAACTGTCCATACATAGGTTGAACAACCACGGGGAAGCCACACAGCCCTGTCTGACACCTTTATGGATGCCAAACCAGTCCGAGTAGGCCATCTAATTAATAGGGATTAATCTTTACTATTATAGTATGAGTATAATGAGTAATGCGTGATTACAGATGTCCTCCTCATGACGAGTGTGGCTCTGTCCCGGCCTTCCCAATATATCTAAATTGTTTACTAATTACCTATATGATATGAGCACCAGTACTATTATCAGAGGATAAAATTTTACTTTGCCATAAGTTAACATTACATACTTTTCAGTTGTGGCATACATAAGTATTTAAGGGTTATGTGCCTAAAATTATGTTTACATATGACAAATATTTTTATAATTCAATATTTGAACCGTTGTGTTGGTGACTCTGTTATTGTGTTTTGCAACTATATGGCTGTGAATTCATCAAAAATTGAACGACAAGTATGTTAAATAAAAAAAAGATGAAGATAATGAAAAAATGTATGTTGTTATTAATGCCATCAGAACTATTGCAAAAAATACAAAAACAGAATAAGATAAAAGTAAATAAATGGCCTTGGAGAGTTGTATTCAAGTTGCGACCGAATCTTCTCAGTGATTAAATCGGATTTCAGTCGACGCCGATGAGTACGATTATGTACCGACTATAAAAATTCCTAGGATCAACATTTAAAAAGTGCATTACATACTTACTTGGAATAAAATTATAGCAAAATGAACATTGTTGCTTGATTCTAAAGTAGTGTCTTATGGTGTAGATATTAAAATAGACGACACTGGTGATACGCGAAGATGGTATATTTTTGCATTATAACAATATTTTTATATAAATACTTAACTTTGAATATTATAACATTTTAAATAAATTATATAGGTTTTAATTTCACTGGAATATTTTATGGATAGTTAAAGATAGCAAGATGTTTTATCAAAATTTTAATTTGCTGTATGATTAAGTTTGATTCATATTTATCATTTTTTTAAAATAAAGTAACTATAATAGTTTGTGTACTATAATCGATCAAAAGTTATAACATTTTTTGATCATAATAATTTATATTATTTACTATTCGACCAAAACATTAACGTGAAAAAGGGCCTAACTCGGTACAAACGACGTTCAGGGGGTTGTTGATATCATAGGATCTATTAGAATGTACAACGTTCTTGGAGACTTGGGACTGCTTGAAGCTTGGTGTCCGTTCAAATCTCAACTCTTTTATCCGCGAAGCCAACAATCCTGAACGATGTTTGCACCGAGCTGGCCCCTTTATTTATGTTTCTGGAGGCATTTAGTCGCCATTATTGAAAAAAAAGTTATATCTTTTTACCAACATTAACCTTCAACGATTTTCCTTGTGTTATGCTTTACTTTATTTTTTATCTAAACTATTAGAATTAAATGTCCACACCATAGCTCCTAATTTTCAATGTTTTCCTTTGTATACGCCTAATGCGCCTAACCTTGATGGAGGCCCTTTTTATTGGTAACAAGGATGCCATTTTAGTTAAGTCATATCGCATCGCATCTGCATTTTGAATTTTAAGCCAGCTTAGAAAAAGCTATTAAAAAGCTGGGACAGTTATTGCAAAAATGGAGGATTATGTCGTAAACGCCACACTCGGTAGGCTGATTAATATTTAGTAGCAACAATGTGGGCATTATGTTCTAGTAATATTTGAATGAAAATTTATTTGCATTTCTATGAGTTGACTTAACGTTTTGAGCTTCTATGGACGAAAGTGGTTATTGGTTATGTAGTTATAAGTAACATCCTATTCTAGAGTTATAAGGCTGCAGTAGCCCATCACGGGCTGAAGAAGCCCATGGACACCTGCAACCAACTTCAAATAAAGAAGTTTACAGGTGCGCTATCAGCTCTGAGGCCAAGATGAAATGCGTCACAGCCTGTCATAGTACTTTCAGATCAGGACATAGTAGTATTAGCGACAGAAAAAGGGTAAAAAGATGGTACCTAACCATATAGACTCCTAGGCAGAAAGGATCCCTACCCCCTACTGAACTCTACATATAGAATTATGAAAGATGGATAAACTTTGGCTGGAAGATATTTTCATATACTCGTCTATGCAAGTAGTACCATATTCAGATTCAATTTATCTATTTTCATAGTTTGTTAACTAGTCAAGTCAGCTAGCATTTAAGCTTTACATAGTAAACAAGTTGGATCGGTGATAAATACAATTAATTGTCCTCTGGATTCCGGGTTCAGACTTCAATGTATGGAAATGTCAGCTGAGTCGAACACTCCGGCTGCAAAAAATGTAACACGCAGGTACTATTAGACACAACGGTCGCAGCCAAGAGGACAATGCTTGATTGATGTGACTTGCGGTAGCACGTGGGCGTTTGAACATTTGCATTGAATCGATGTTGTCGACATCATCCGAATAATATCCGTATGGCCCGGGTTGATGACCATGTCTTGTGACAAAAATATTTTTTTGGGTATTGAACATTTTTTATATTTCTTTAAGTACGCTTAATTTTCACTATATTCTAAAAGAAAAGTGATCGTGTTTCCGTCATAGAAAATATAGTATTTCGGATGTTTGTGGTGACTGTTCCAGGCATCTCAATGCATAATTCTAACTTTCTCTAGCCTCAAAACCTCATATTCATTTGGTGTACATTGTTTTGTGACCGCACTGTAGAAATGCTTATGAATATTATATGGTTTGTCTTTTATAAATAGTTGCCATCTCTTATTCATTTTAGTAAATAATCCAATAGTTAAAAAATGTATGAAGATGAATAATAAATTGTTTATTTTATTTTATTTAATATTGAATATTTATTTAATATTCAAATACTTTATCTTTCCTTAAAAATATTTGTTTTAAATATTTGTTAATTTAAATTATAAATAAGTTATGCCTTACCATTAATAATGACCGCATCTTCAGTGTAAAACGCACCATTTGTTTCAGAAAAAATATTAGTTTTTTCAAAATCACAACCGCATAGCGTAGCCGTTAGTCCCAACCAGAGTATTATTAATTTATTTTTAGTAAACATCGTTATTCGAGAAAAAAAGCATTCACAGATAATTTATTTATTTAAAATAAAAAATAAAATCGATTATGAACGACGCGGGGATGTACGTCCTACAAGGAGTCTCTCCGCAAAATGCTCGGCTCAAGTTGCCGCACCTTTATAATATTTTCACAAAGACGCTCTACATTAGGTTTAAAAGATAACAGAGCTTTTACTCCTTTTATATTAACTTGACATTAGCCGTCCATTGTATTTGGGCACTATAAAATATGACATTCGGTTTTAAACCTACATCAAAAAATTGATAACATAAAATGTTGCAACGTTCACACGACGTCATAAGAATAAGGATCAAAACTGAGATTTCATTGCTCGTTTTGGAGATAAAAGAACCACTTAAAAATTATTTCATTAAGGACCGCGCAGTAATGAAAAACACGAATTGATTCCCTGCACAGAAAATTGATGGAATAAGAACCTAAATGATAATATATTAATGTGCTTCTATCAAACGAAACGTATAAACTAATCATGGACAGTCGAGCATATCATTCCACAGTTCGAGTGAAGGCATTTTTAGTCGACTTCAAAGGAGAAGGTTCTCACATCGCCTGTATTTTGCTTTATTTTTGTGAGATACGCGATATCTTAGTTTATTGTAAACCGATTTTTAATGATCCTTTTTTATTAAATATGTCCTTAAAGGAGGACCTTGAATTTGAAAAAACAGTCCATTCTTAAATACATTATTAAATGTGGGAAAATTGAGGATTAATTTTTAATGTGACCGACATTCTATTTGTTATCTTGGAGTGGTATACGTAGTAGAGCCATCCGGTCTTCGGTTCTCTACACTCACCATACGAAACACAGCAGTGTTAGGCTGCTATTTTACGATGGTATTCTGTGAGGGCGTCGTCATTCTCCGATCGAGCCGACCCATTCGTGCTACAATTATACTTCTAATATATATCTTCTATACAGCATGGCTTTACCACGTTATCAATCGTTAATCCACTACTGTGTTCCGGTCTGAGGTGTATTTATAGCAAGCAGGTGACTTCCTCATTGGTCTAGAGTTCGTAAACGCGATTACTAACATGAGGTCTCGGGTTAGAATCCCGGGTCGAGCTAAAATCAGTTATTGAGTTTTTCTGCCAAAAAAATTTCAGTAGCAGATTGTAATCCATGAAGTTGGCACTGTTTCAGCCCGTGTGCCTCGGAAAGAACGGTAACGCCGTTGGTCCTGCGTCTGACTGTTCATGTTGGATTAGCGTTCCATCGTACTATGAGAGTGAGGGAATAAAGAGTTCACCTGTACTTGCGCATACTCTCGGGCACTATACTGCAAGTAGGCATAATTACTCAGCGGTGACAACGCCCTATATCCTTCTTTATTTGAAAATGGTTGCTGGCGTCATGGGGAGCAGCAGCAGCAGTAACCAATAAACATCAAGTGGTCAGTGAGCTCGCTCCATACTTTAATGTTACTTTAATAAAAATCTGTGTAGTTCTTGTCTACTGTATTCATAATATATACTTTCGAGAGCAATGCAAACTGCTGCAAACAAACAACAGATGTTTTGCGTTGCGGCATGTTACAAAATTTAAACCAATTGTCTATTTCTTCTATTAGCGCATACTTCAATATTTTAGAATGCAAGATGGCATTAGAGGGGATTTTTTTAAGTCTCACACATAGTCCGAGCTTGTCCTAGACAAAGTGCGAATATTTGAAAACCGAAAAAATATAAAATAAAATAAAAAGGCTTAACACTTGAGCTTTAGTGAATTAATTTTTGGGGCGGATGCACTGTCGGTTTTTTAAAGGTTTACCTTAAGCGCAAGAATTGCATGTTTGAATGATTAATAGATATATATATATATTAATATGGCCAAGTAAATGTCACTAGTATCAATTAAAATCTAAATAATTTGTAGGTAAAACCAAACTGAAATTTATATTTATGATAAGTATGTCCAAATCTGTTAATTTTCATTAATAACTAGTTGCAATTATGTAGCGACAGTGCATACTCATAATCATACGCTATACAGCAAATTTATGAGTGGGTTTCCGAATTGAAGTTTTATTGTTTTCTTGTGGTTTAATGAATCGCTCTTAAATATACTCATGGACTTTTTTATTAGTCCGAGGATGGACATCTACGTGTATAAATTTCTGTATCTACACGCGAACAATCCAAAATTTTTACATATAATATTTAATAGTTTCCGAAGGAGATTCCTTTGATCGGAGAAGAAAAGGCGAAAGAAACTGCAGAGGTATCATCTTAATTGGCATTTTAAAGTAAATATTACAAAAGCATAGTATATACAGAATGGAAAACAATACAGACCCATTGGTAACTGAAGCATGTTCATTGACGCAAAAAACATCAGAAAAAAGGAATAGAAAAAATTTGGAGCTTATCAGTGAGCGAGCATACCAGCCCCCACAAGCAACAACTGTTCACAAGTAGAATCCAAGTGGCAGTCAAAGCCATTCTCGAATACATACTACAAAAACATCTCTAGTATGCTAGTATTTTTTTTAACTTTCAAATACGTATTTTGGGATACGATAATACTATATATTATGCTACTAATGGCCCTTTGCGAGAGTGCACAAACTGGTTTACTTAACCTGAAAGATTGTCCCATATTCACTTCACTATGTTGGGCATGCAGATTGGTGAACATAGAACTGATACCTTCACGCTAGTAATGCTCCTTATCAATAACGATGTAGAGCCGTGCTGCAGCTATATTAGTACAATAGTTGTGGCACGAATGGGTCGGCTCGACCAGGGAAGGACCACGTGCTCACAGAATACCAGCGTAAAATAGCAGCTCATCGCTGCTGTGTTTTGTATGGTGAGTGTAGAGAACAGGAGACCCATATTACTGGAAGCAAGGCATTCTATCTTAGTCCTCACGGGTGACAACGCATCTGCATTTTGATTCGTAAACGAGGATGAATGTAGATGTCTATAGGCCACAACAACTACTTACCATCAGGTGGACTTTGCGCTCGTTTATCACTTCCTATAAAATAAAAAATAATAAGTCTTATGAATTTGCTGGTTATCATAGTACATATCGTTCCTTTGGTGACAACATCGGATTCAGATGCGATTGCTATTTAGAGTTTAGAGGAGAGGTTGTTGAATTTCTTTTACATCCTTCAGAATATTTATTTTAAAAAACAAATTTTACTTTACTTCTTTTTAAAATTAATTTACTTTAATTTTTTTTTACATAAGTTCCTTTGACTCGTCGCCCGTCAGAATTACTCATGTTTATTTCGTAGTAAATTTTGTTAGGTATTTGTTGACAGATTGAGATTCTAATGTGATTGATAAAGTACCGTAATCACAGTCAAGTAGAATGCCAAATAACAAAGCCATGAACTAGAGGTGGATGACCTTTTAAAAAATGAGTTTCATTAATTATAATGTTGTAAGTGTAACGTTTAATATAATACATTTATGTTTAATAACGAATAAGCTTAAACATAATCCAATACTGTGTTATACTTTTAACTGTAGAAAGCAGAATTCTGTGTTCAAATTATGTAAAGCAAGTACATTATTATTAAAAGTAAAAACGTAGCAGTAACTAAGTACATAAACACCTAGTTCGGCAACATAGTTTTGACTGATTTTATTATGTTGAGGGATATTAACTATCTCCATTTTTAACCCCCGACGCAAAAAGAGGGGTATTATAATTTTGAACGCTATGTGTGTCTGTCTGTTTGTCTGTCTGTGTGTCCGTCTGTGCCACCTTAGCTCTTAAACGGGTGAAGCGATTTGGGTGCGTTTTTGGTACGAAGTTCTTTATCGGACAGTACGGATTTGGTGGATGGGGGCTAGGCGAGAAAAAGTATAAGATTTTTCCATCACGACCCCTTCTGACGCAGTGAAGACGGTTTTGGCAGCTATAAGGAAGCTGGATGGAATAATATCCACCTCCCTCGCACTTTTTATTATCTTGCCATGAAAGAAATATTATTTTATTCTAAATGACGCTTAATTAACAGACGCCAGTAATTCATTTATTTGTATTTTTTTTATGGGATAAGGGTCACAAACGTGCACACAGTCCACCTGATGGTAAGTGGTTGCTGCGGCCCATAGACATCTACATCTATCATCTATTACAAATCAAAATTCAGATGCGTTGTCACCCGTGAGGACTAAGATGGAATGCCTCATTTTCAGTAAAAAGGGCCTCCGGCCACCTGCATTCACCAATCGAAACGCATTTGTAAATCAATAATATAATACGTTTATCAATAATAATATATTAGAAGCGTCAGTAGCCTAATGGCAGGGCGCGGACCACGAATTCGAAAGGTCGTGGGTTCGAATCTGCTATTCGACTTCTGTCGTGAACCACTTCTAACACAAGCATTTTAAGCTTACCAGAAGTGGTTTAAGGGAATATTAGTAATGTTAAATAGCATTATTAGTATTAAAAAATTACTACGAAAAGAACTTCGCTCCAACCGAGTGTTACACGACACTCACCCATGTTGTTTTTATTTATAAGCAGGTTTTCTAACGGTGGCTCATAGACATGTTTTATTAAAATCGATTCAGCCGTTTCAAGGTCATCAGCTGTTTTGTTTCGGGGGGTTTGAATTTTTTTAATTTTAGTCATTTATGTAAGGAATTAAAACTTTGCTTGTCGAACATTTTTTTTAATCTATGAGATTGCAGACTGTTGAAAATACCTATCTGTCATATTAGTATAAACTTTATGGGGCTTCTTCTCTGCTTAAGAGTACGGCTGTGCTTCCACTATCCATTAATCCATTGTAGTTCTAATCACAGGGTCAACACCATATCAACAGAATCAAAAATATAATAAAAAGGCTGCATAATTATTAGTTTTAATTGGAACATGTATACCATATTATCTTCCTCTTCTTTATTATTTAATCTATTCTGAACTACTGATTGACTACAATTCCATCTGGTGGTACGTGGTGATGAAGCCCTGGATGTTAAACC